ATCCCCTCCTCTCGGAATAATGGAAGGCTGTCAGGGTTCTCTTGTAGATGGACCGGGATCTGGAGGAACGTCAGGAGGAGGCATCGGTGGATCTGTAGACAGTATTAACTGCTCCTGATCCCTTTGTATGAAGCGTTTTAACCGTTGCACATGCACAATCTCCGGAGGATCGGCCTGCTGAACGTTATGCCGAACCTCATAAACTTGTGGTCCAACTTGCCGCAACACCTAATACGGTCCTTTCCACTGCACAAGGAGCCCCTTAGATAAACCACGTACCGTAAGATGGGGAAAACGGACTAACACCAAATCATCCACTTTGTACTTCGTAGGTGGATGATGATGGGAATTGTAGCGCCGTTGTTGTCCCACTTGTACGCGGCCTAAGTGTTCAGCAGACTCTGCTCGGACAAGTGGAAGAATGCTTGTCAAATATTGATCCCATGACCTAGCATCAGGAGCTCGTGGCAATCGCGAAGGTAAACCCAGCTCTGTTGGTAATATTGGATCATGACCATATAGAAGTTTATATGGTGAAGCACCAACAGAACTTTGCACCCCTGTGACATAAGCATACCGAAGAGACGGCAAATAACCATCCCAATCCGAATGTTGAAAGTTCACATACTTTGCAATCATCCCTTTGAATGTCCGAACGAGCCGTTCCACCAGACCGTCTGATTGTGGATGATAAGCACTCGTAAAAGTGTGGCGTATCCCCAACCGAGATGTCAAAACATGAAATACCTCAGCCATAAATGCAGGACCATTATCCGAAAGAAACTGCTCTGAACAAGAATGCTGGAACACCACTCGACTGAGGAGGAAGTATCCAACAGCAGTTGCAGAGGCACTAGCAAGAGCACCAACTTCCACCCAACGAGTCAAGTAGTCAGAAGCAATAATAACATACTCATTGCCAGCAGTCAATTGCGGAAAAGGTCCCATAAGATCAAGCGCCACCAACTCAAACGGACGAGAAACTGCAATTGACTCCAACCGTCCTTCCGCAGCACAAGGGGGAGTATTACGAGCTTGGCACCAAACGCAGCTACGCACATACCGGATAATATCACGTCGCATCTCTGGCCAAAAGAAAGATCTGCGCAGCTTCTTAGTGACACAACGGTGTCCTATATGCCCACCTAGAATAGGAGAATCATGGTAGGCATGGAGAAACCGCGGAATAAACACCGAAGGCACCACCAACCGTAAATGATCATCAGGATCCGTCCCCACAAAATAAAGAAGGCCATCTTCAAGGCGATACTGAGAATGTAAATGCCAAAAAGGCAAGTCATCAGCAAGTGATGCAGAATTCTCAAACCCATCTCGAAGCCTTTGAATCCACGGCTCAATCTTTTGAGCCTCGCGAACCTCATCCAGAGAAGGTAGATCTTGCTCTACGCCCTGTGGACACTGAATGTCAAGGACAGCAACCACCGACGGCACAGAATCCTCATCTAGAAAATCCACAGATGCTGGAACAACAGGTTCGTCAGAAACATGAAAATGGAGTGGAGAAGGAAGAGGAGGTCAAGAAAGGGCATCAGCATCAGCCATAGAACTCCCTAGGCGATGAACAACATCGAAATCATATATCTGAAGCTTCAAAGCCCATCGAGCCGTACGACCAACCAGGTTCTTCCGCTTCAATAATGAAGTAACAGCAGCATGGTCACCTTCAAGTAACGTCCGAGAACCATGTAAATATGCATGAAGTTTCTCAAAACCCCAGACTGCTGCTAAACACTCCTTCTCCGTCGTGGAGTAGTTCATCTCTGCTGATTGTAATGTACGGCTTACGTATGCAATGGGATGGCGCTAACCAGGCACACTCGAGCTCTCTTGCATCAACACACCTCCAAGACCAATGTCAGAAGCATCCACGCGCAAAATAAAAGGTCGAGTGTAGTCAGGATATGCCAAAACCGGAGGAGTCGTCAATAGCTCTTTGAGATTCACGAACGCCCGCTCACAATTGGGAGACCAGATGAAAGATGACGTTGATGACTTCAGCAACGCTCGCAATGGTGTGGTGCGATCGGAAAGATGATCCACAAAACAACCGAGATACTGCACCTTACCCAAAAAGCGCTGCACATCATTCACACACTTCGGAGTAGGGAACTTTAGAACAGCCACAAGTTTGTCAGGATCAACTTGCAAACCCTCACGAGAAATACGGTACCCAAGATAAGTTGTGTCCTTGGACCCAAACACGCACTTCGACCGCTTCAGTTTTAAACCAACATCGCGTAGCCGATCCAACACTTTACAAACATCACGAACATGCTCCTCCCACGTCCCCTCCGAGTGGATCAAGACATCATCAATGAAGTCAGCTGTCACCTCCGGCATATCGCAAAGAACCTCGTCCATCATCCGCTGAAAAGTTGCTGGAGCATTGTTCAAACCAAACGGCATCACCAAAAACTCGTACAAACCAAATGGTGTACGAAAAGCAGTCTTAGGAATATCTTCTTCAGCCATCGGTACTTGCCAATACCCAGAAGCAAGATCTAGCTTGGTGAACCAACGACTTCGCCCCAGATGATCCAAGAGATCAGCAGTGTGAGGAAGAGGGTACACGTCCGGGATCGTCACTTCATTTAACGGACGATAGTCGATGCAGAAACGAATACTCCCATCAGGCTTCGTCACAAGATGAGGTTCACATGCCCAAGGACTCCGCGACTTTCGAATAACACCTTTCTCTAACATCTCCTTGACGTTTGCACGTAAAATCTTGATCTCCTTGGGTGACCGATGACGAACAAGAACCTTGATTGGACGAGCATCCCCGGTTGGAATGGGATGACGTGTGGCAATCTTGGCCCCAGACGATAGGTCAAATTCAAAGAGATCAGAATACTCCTTCATGAGCTGGTCAACAGTTGCAACACAAAGATCATCGGAGGGATCGGAAAAGGGAAGAGCAGAACAAGATGGAAACACAAGAGGAAATATTGGGGGAACAAAAGTAATGGAAGCAGAGGTAGAAGTAGAGGGACGAAGAGGTACAGAAGTGAGAGGAATGGATGAAACATAAGGAAGTATGAGACAAGGGGGAGAAGCCTCAAAGTCACACTTGGCATGATTGTGCTGCAACCAATCCATACCAAGAATGAGGTCAAAAGCTTGACTCGGCACCACCCGCAACGACTGCAACTCAAGCTCGAGATCGCCCACACGCACAACCAGGTCTGCCTCATCTCGTGCACATGCATGTGTACGGCCGTTGCCATAAAGAATGAAAACTGGATCCGCCGCACGACGCAAGTGTAGACGACAACGTGTGGCAACAGGTCGAGCAATAGAAGATAAACTCGAACCTGTATCAACCAACACGGAGAGAAGAATAGGAGACCTCTTGTTATAAAAACGAGCTTAGAAAGTAAACACTGGATGAACCGGTCCCGAGTGAACCCCTTGATGATACTCCCGAAAGAAAGATGGAGGGGTCACTAATTTATTCGCGCAAGGTCCCTCCATTACTCGCGCGACTCCTTGTTTCCCGAATGCATCTCGGTATCCAAACCTTCCACCGCAGCAGCACCAACGGGACGTTGCTGACGCCAAGGTCTCCACCCAGGAAATGGAGGTCGCCAATCCGGAAAGTGCCGACAACGCCGATAAGTATGACCAACTTCATCACACGCCCAGCAACGAACATCACGGCCACGACCACGTCCTCGCCCTTGTCCTTGGACTTGAGTAGCAGCAGCATCAACCTCCATGGGAACAGGACCATCACTCATAGGAAGTGGAGCTGAAGGACGTGTAGCAAGAAGTGGAAGAGGCGACGTCTCATAACGTTGTGCCAAGCGAAGAGCATCGTCAAGAGTGGCAGGAGCAAGTGCATGCACAAGTCCGACAAGATCTTGACGAAGTGCTGGCCACAGCATTCCTAGCTTGATCCGCTCCGACATATTTGGCTCTGCACGAAGCAAAAGACTTCGGAAACGAACGCCAAATTGCATCACCGACTCAGATGGCCCTTGGCGAAGACAATGCAATTGTTGGAAGGCATCATCACAATCGTCGGCGTGTCCGAAGGCGCGTTTGAAGACGTCCGAAAGAACACTCCAATCGCCACGAGTAGCTGCGCTCAATCCATTGTACCACTGCAATGCTGTCCCTTGGAGACATGTGGGGAACTCACGCAAATGTCGAGCATCATCCCAAAAATAATATGTGGCAATCACCGTGAAGTGATCGAACCAATAGTACACATCATCCCCAGGATTCCCACGAAAGAACTCCGGCCGAACGCGAGGATTGGCACCAAAAGCAGGAGGAGTTGTACCATGTGCCGTGAATGCCGCCATCAACTGAGTTTGATTGTTCAATTGCAAGCACATAGCATCAAGCAATTGAACCAACTGCTGCTCTAGAGTCAAAGTAGGAGATTGCGGATCGGCCATGAAGATGAACGAAAAAAGAAAGAGCAAAAGAGGAGAAATGACAAAAAAGCTAGAAAGAAATGGTAGATCTAGACAATGCAAAAAGCTAGATCGAAACCAAATCTTGAAAGGAAAGAACAAAAGAAAGGAAATGGAAAAAGCTAGATCTATCCTAAATCCAAGCACTCCCCAGGGACAATCAAAGGTGCCCTTCAACTCCACCAATGTGAGTGCATGGAATATAGAAAGGGAATACAGAAATGTGCATATCAATTAGCCCAAAAACCCTAGTTTATATACAAGAGCGAGTGGTCCGGATTGAAACCAATCCGACGGCTACCAAAATCCACTACGCTAATATTAGTATATGGCATCGTAGCCGTACACTTGGCCCTCACAATAGCTAAATATATGCTTCATAAATTATTAAATAAAATTTATGACTAAGCCTAGATATGTTATTTTGGAAATAATTGATTTGAGTTTTGAGTTTAAGGATGAAAAAACATATAGGAATCTATAGAAAATTTATGAGCCTTGTAATGGAAGATGTCTTCAAGTTTGCAGAAATAAAAGAGAATTGTCCCTCATATGTACAGTGCAGATAAAAGGTTTATTGTGAATTTCTTTGTTGTCTTAGCTTTGCAACAAACCATATCATCAGTCTTCTTGCTTAAGCCTTTCATAGCATACTGGTAGTGCTGTAAGCGAGAGGTCGTGAGTTAAGGCATTGCATATGCTTTCTTTTTCCGCGCTTGGAGATGCAAAGCTCAAGCGATATATGATCCACCCAAATTTGAAGCTTCGATCAGGCCCCAGTTCTTACATGGTACTTGGCATCACAAAAACATTAGTCGAAAAGTGAGTAAAAACTTACATAGAATCAAGAGAAAAAAAGGTACCAAGTCTATCTCCATGCTCGTAAGAGCATCCCCAGAACTAGAGCACTGCCGAAAGCAATATGAAGCCTAACACAAAAGTATTTGGCAAGGAATATTTTTTTCTTGTCCTGCAATTAATCACTTGTTATTGGCCATCGAAACCACAAAAGACTGTATACTTACGTGATGATTTGACGAGACAAAATCCACAACCATTTTTCCAACCGGGAGTGTGAGCAGGCACAAAGCCGCACACGGCAGAGGCAATGCTTTGAGAGCCGCTAGAGCACAAAGCCCTGTATACAGCCCAGTGACTAGGAAAGTCACAACTTTCGACCCATTCTCCGTGCCAAGCCTCACCTGACATAGATATCAGAGTGATGGATTAGCACAGTAAAAGTCTCTCTTTGTGTAAAACTCGCATACCAGTGGAGAGATCTTGCCAACAGCTTTGTCATCTTCGATCTGTGCTTGGATGAATAACACGGGTGACGAATATTTGCAATGTACCTGATGGAAGTGGCTGCACAAGAGAATGAGCGTGGTTGTGATGCCCACCAGTGCGGAAGCACCCCACAGTGTGGGTGTTAAAGGAAGAATCCTACGAAACGGAGACTCGTTGAAAGACTGACGAGAAAGCTTTTGAAAAGTTTACGCTTTGTGTGACTGGCTGAGGTAAAATGCAGTCGTTGCAAATGGCCCGAAAGCAAGAAAGCAGAGAGGCTCGCCCAGTCCCTTGTAACTCAGTCGAAAGGGAGGACACTAATGCAAGAACAAGGAAAGTGAAAACCAGTTTTTTGTCAATCTCAAGTACCTGATAGATGTATCCGCAAGAGATTGCTGCAGCAAGGAGAGACGCTACTCTTATATCGGATGCGACCAAGGCTGCTCTCAGAAGTCCCGCACAACCAAACGCGAGGCAAGCGAACGACGCTAATAATACTCCTCGCTGGCTGTTTCTCGAAAGACCAAGGATCTAATTAGTAAATGATCCTGGCAGTAAGAAGTTACCTTCCAGTGATGTTCACAACTGATTCTTTCTTGTTTTTGTCCACACCAGTATCGGCATCGAATGCATCATTGCTGAAACAAGCTTAGAACAGACATTGTCTGGCATATAGTACCTTAGATTCAACCACGTGATGACGAGCACTGACGATACGAGTAACAACGAATATTGTCCACCATCAAACGCTCCACTCTCGAGAAATGCAGTAGCCGAGCCTACCTGCAACTAGAAGTTTCAGGCAACAATACAAAAAGCTTGGATAAAATCACTCTGTACCGAGAGAGGTATCAACGCGACTGAATAGATGGGGAGCTTCACTGCTCTCCAGAGAAGCTGCAAATCGCTCAGCTCTTGTATGCTTTCCGTGGGCGGAGATTCCTCCCGACTTTCAGTAAGAAGGCTCAAATTCGCTTCTTGGAAGCAAAATGCTACTCGAGCTTTGCGAGAGGCACTCACATTGGTGACGGGAAAAGCGCGAGAGGAGCATTGGAGTCTTTTTCCGGAGGTCCGCGTGCAATAGAGAGCAAGCTCAATAGCCAATGCCATATCCAAGAATTACCTTCTCAACACCTAAAATGAATTTGACATTAGCGTGGATAAAGTGTGATAATACACAAACAAATTGTAGTTACGCTCTGGTTTTCTTCTTCATTCTTTTGCCAGCTCGGAAAACCGCGAGTATCTCAATGCTGCAGAAAGTTTCAAAAAATGTTATGGCTGTAGATGACAGTTTTAGGATGGCATTCACCTGTCAGTGCCGGGAAAGAAGTTGTAAGCATGAGCATTCGCCAAATGCCAATGTCCGTTCTCTTCCAGTGCCTCACAATCCTGTTGAAGAATGTCCTGCACGTCAAGTGAAGAAGAAAGATGCGACTAGAACCTGTTTGAATGAATCCCATCCACAGCTGACATATATCAACTGCTCTGGCCATACATCATCGTCTCGCCAAGTCGTTTCTCCCTCTCTTTGAACACCACCATCTTTCGCTCGCAACATCCACGGTCGTTTCTCAACTCTGAAACAAAATTGCCATCCAGCTAATTCTACTCTCGATAACGAAAAACTTACTTATCGATTTCGTTTCTAGATGGCGATCTTGTTTTGCCTTGCGCTCTCAATGAAGCAGTTCTCAGAGCCTCAATAAGCACGGGCTGCAATCCTTTTCTTGGAGGATCAACAACAACCACATCTGCACCTTCCAACCACGTTATCGGAGCCTGCAATCCCAGAAAACCACCGTCAAAAACATATGAACAAAAGCATAGAAGAGTGAAATCAACCTCTGCTGCATCTGCGCAATGCCAGCTGATTTGGCAGTCGACGGAAGCTGGTAATCTCGAAAGAGAACGTTCAAAAGGCTCTTTGCAGTGCTTATTCACCTCGACGCACTTGACAAATCTACATTGTTGCAAGGTTATTAGACGCTAGCCATAACCGGTAAAATGTGTCCACCTGCACTTTCTAGTGGCTGCCAAACTCAAGCCAATGACGCCAACACCAGCAAACATGTCCACCACGGCACTTCCTTTTCTCACGTATCTCTGAAGTCTCTGTAGGAGGTCCTCAAAAGACTAAAAATTCAATGTGTCATCAATCCGTTTGTTTACTTTCGGAAACAATGCGCACACCTGATAGTTTGCTTGCCCAAAGCTGGAGGGAGCGTAGCATACGTCCGCACCTCCAACACGCTCCCAGAGTTCAGAATGCCCAAACAAACGCCTCCACCTCTGTCCCAAGATTATCTGGTAACTCTCAAAAGTAAGCTACGCATCCTGAATTCCAAGTACTCACGTTAGTTTGCGTTGTTTGAAAGTTTGCCCAAATTGAATGCAAGAGGTCTCTTCGGCTTCCTTGTCCACCCCGTCTCCACAAACTCTGAAAAACACAAGATCAGAAAGAAGGCAACACGAGAGACGACGATTACGTAGGCCATCTTATGAAGAAGCTCCGTTCCTGGAGAATCCTCATCTCGACTGTTCCAAACCAAGGACACCTGTACTTTGCCTACAAGTATTTAATTAAAGCCTGGAAAACTTGAAAAGGTCTCAGAACGTACATGTGTTCTTCCGCTGCTCAACAGGTACGGAGGTCACGTAGCTGTTAACAACAAGCTGAAAATACCGCGGTATTTGTTTAGTGAATTGAATAGGAAACGTATGTGAGAACCTGGATATAGCGCAGCTGCCCTGTGCACGTCTCGTCATCGTAAGGTTGCACACCAACGTCTCGTATAACTGCAACGCAAGTGATTATGGTAATTTTCCTTCATAACGAAAACGCACCTGCTTTGATAAGCTCAACCGCTGCGTTTATAGAAGGATGGTGGGCTGCTCAATACACACCATTTGCAAGAGTGGAAATTCAGTTCGAAGATGAATGCTTACCGCGGCATTCAGGAATATCGACAATACTGTGGCTGTGCTCCTCAAAAAGTCCAACAAATGGGTCATCAGACGTTCCACGAACTGCTAACTTAGCTCTACATCTCCATCCGTGCTGGTAGAGCGTTAAAAAACAGTCAAGTAGCCCTTTTTCAAGATGCAACATACCGTAGCACTGGGTATAAGCTGAAGCTTTGCAATTCGTCGTTTCTGGAAGAACGTGACAGCTTCGTTGTAAACAGGCGGATTGTTGAGTCCGTTTTCAAACGCACAACCGGAACACCTTAAAAGAAGCAAAGAAACTCAACTTGAAAACAATGTGTAGCTACCGTACCTTGAAAAATGCTGACAATTTAGCTTGCTAGACGTTTTTACTTCTTCCTCTGCGGGGATATCGGTTTCATCTTCTTCCTGCGGAAACTCCAAACCCAGTTGAACACCATCACTGCTTGGTCCTTCCTCGTTCTGGTTTCCATCTTCTTCTCGACCTTCGTCCTGCAGGTCTGTTGTCCTGCTCCTGTCTGATAAGTATCTTTCCTTGCTCACTCTCCGCCCGGGAGTCCACGTCCTGTGAAGCTTGAGTTTGCCTGCGGCTTTTCTACTAGTCAGTGGTCTGGAAACCTCCACAGACTTCTTCCCTGAAGCAGCAACTACAAACCCAATCCTCCATTTTGACGAAGAAACCAAGCTTCCATAGCAGGCGCAGCAATCTCCCATGAGAGTCACTAGGGCTGCAACCAGATTTGTTTTTGAGAACTATAAGCTAAGAACAAAGAAACCAATCTTACTTAGTGCTCCTGCTCCACGTAAGAATGTGGATCTGACGAAGTCGAAGGCTGGCGATTATGTTGTTGTGGTTGCTGCTGCTGCTGTAGCCTAGCGTTGCTTTCTACGATCATCCTCGCGATCTGGAGCTGAGTTTCATTCCTCTTCAACTCCAGCTCCCTCATCACTTCCAGCCTCTTCAGTTCCATCCTTTCAAGAGCTTCAGTCACGATACGAGCAATCTCTTTGGCATGACGCAACGGATTAGAACCGCAGGCGCTACCTTTTTTCCGCTTCTTGCACGCTTTGCTGCTGTTCCTGGCCTGGCAATCGTCGTCATCATCGTCGTTATCGTCCTGCTGGTCGGACAAAAGTTGGCCACCTGATATCTCGTCTTGGACGTGCTGCGCAGCGGCTTGCAACGACGATGATCCAAACCGATGGTCCTGTTTAGAGTTGAGAACTCCACTTCCAACCAAACCTTGCTCGTCAGGTTCTTGGTGATGGTGGAGTAGTGGAAGAGTAGAAGGTTGTACTTGAGGAGGATGAGTTTGCGGCTGGTGGTGGTGATTTTGCTGCTGCTGCTGGTGGAAGTGATTTCCAATCGTCCCAGTAACAAGTGCGGCCGCTGCTCCTAGCCTAGGATTTCGACCAACGATCTCCTCCATTTTTTGAAACCACGGCCAATCCGAGATCCCTCCGTTGGTCGCCTTTCGGTCTCTCTCAATCTTAAACCTCCTCTTCATCACGTCCAGCTTGTTCTTGCATCTCCGGTAGCTGTAGACGGGCTTGCCTTGCGCGCACACCGAATTGAGCTTGAAGATCACGTCCTGCCATCCCTTGGTGCCAATGCTTCCCCCATTGAGCTCGATGTACTTGTCGTTGTAGCAATCCAGCAGCGTGCTGACCGCTACATCGCTCCACTCATCCGCCGGCGGCATCGAGGAGGCCAGCATTTCCTTGCCGCTGCTGCGCATTCCCATAAACCCTAGGATTTCCGAGCCGCGCTCCGCGAGGAGATCGGCGCGGCGTTACCTGAGAAAGAAGACCAGGAATGTGGAGATCAGGGGAGATCGTCGCGAGAAAGCGAAAAATCGCGATTCAATCGTCCGTAGCGCGCTCCCCGCCATAGCTACTCCTCGCTCCCATCATGCAATGTGTTTGACCCTCAACCATATGACATGTATCCAAAGAGGAAGAGAAACACGTGGCATTCTTCCGATTTTCCCCTTGACAAGTCATAACAAACCGGCACTTTTTTACATTGATAAAGATGTTTACACAATATTGTTCTACCAATTTTTTTTTCTGTACAGAGGCGTGTAGTGAGTGAGCTTGTGTGCTGCGCTGTGAGTAAAAGTGAGTGAGCTGTTACCCAAATCCAATCTCCCAATCCATCCAATTTCGTGTTAGTCTTAATCCACCGCTAAAATAATCAATCGCGTCGCAAAGTAGCCACACTGGATTAGTGGCGCTAGCCCAAACGAAGGAACGATCCATCCATTCGTCGCCTTCAATGGAGAGAAGATAGCCAATCCTCGACGTGCTTTCTCTGCTGGGCTGCAAGCAAAGCCACAAAGAAGAAATTTAGGGTTCTTGGGAGGAGCGAGAGGGCGATCGATTGGCGGCGACATTACCTGCTGCGGCATTGCGATTGCTGCCGCTGGAGATTGTGGTGAGAAGCGCGGCGGCCCAGACGGTGGGAGGAGGAGGATTGCTGGCCGGGGCGGCGGAGGAGATATTTCGGCGCGTGCGCGAGGAGCCGTAGCAGGGCACAAGAACCGCGAAGCTCTCCTCGGAATCGGAGCTAAAATCGGTGGAATGGGGCTCCAGCCAGCCGACGGACCAGTCGGAATCCTCCGATTCGGAGCCCGACATGCAGCATCCATCCGTGTGGACGACCACCAGGTCGAATTCCTCGTCGAGCTGCTTCTCGCGGCACAGCTTCCACGGCCGCCGCGCGCTAGCAGCCGATTGCGACGAGGAATTGGAGGAGGCGGAGGAGGAGGACCTGGGCCTCTGGCGTCGTCGCGATTTCCCCGCGCTCGCTCTGCTGCTCCTCCGGAATCGATCGCTCTCTTGCTGCTGATGCTGCTGCTGGTGCTGCTGATTCTCTAGGGTGTTGCTGTTGCTACCACCGCTGGCGCGCCATAGCCACGGAGGGAGCTGCGATAGCGCCATCGCCATGATGATCTCCCTCTCTCTCTCGCTCTTCTAAGAGGGCGCGCGCGCGCGCTACAAATCCACACAAATTCCCTGGCGAAATCTATGGAAGAATGTGTCTGGGAAGGGAGGGTTTCACGACGAAGGCGAAGAATTTGGACTAACTCCTACTTGAGCAACAGGGCATCTCTACCCACGTGGCGCCGCCGCGGTCGTCCATCGCCGCATCCGACGGCTGCCGTGTGGGGTCGTCTCACTCACACTTCTCCTCCAACTTGTTAGCTAGCACGGATTCCTCTGTGATGCTGATGGCGCTGCCTGGATTGCTCGCGTCCATCCATTCGCGCAAGTGTTTTTAATCTAGCTTTAAAATATTGTTGGGGCGTAGGCTCTCACGCCTTTGTACTGGCTTTGTCTTGTTCCGTGTCAAGAGTCGTACACCAACGTATGATCAATCAATCAAATATGTTCCTTCTTTTTACAAACCACAAACACAAGTATCTAGGTAGAAAGGTTCCTTATCAATTGGAAACATCCCTGTTTTGAGCTGGTTCCTCGCCATGGGGAGGACGCTGCTCGATTTCTTCGCGATGAGGTGGTTCCACAGGATGGGCAGAGTGATTTATTTCATTGCTCCCACCTTGATCTTGGGGTGATTCCACGCGAGGAGGGTGCTCTACTGGATAGTCCTGGAGTTGTTCATTCTGCTGGGATCCATTCTGCTGGGGTTGGGATTGATCCGGGTAAACTGGCACTGGGTAGCGCATCCCTCCACCACCACCAAGAACTTGCTGCGCAACCTTGCTCCGTGCAACCAAACGCTCTTCCTCCGCCTTGCGGCTGGCCATCTCTCGCAAACTTGATTGCTTCTCCGAGGATTGCCTACGCAGCCCCTCGGCCCTGCCGTGCGCTGCCTCCCTAGCGCCGGCGTCGAAAGGATGAGCAATCTTACCTCCAACTTCCTTGGCGCTTGCAAAAGCATGATCAAGCTTCTCTCGGGCACCAGATGCTAGCGTCACAATGTCTTCTTTGGCGTTTGCTCGAGCCTCCCGCCTCATTGCATCCATTGTCGCTTCAGAGGCCGCCATAGAATCAACCGATCAATCAAAGATCAAAGAGAATCAATCTATAAGAGATCAAAGAGAGCCACAGAGGGCTATACAGAGACTTTTTGTTTGCCCGAAGGGGGGTCATCCAGCTCCATTTTAAAGATCTAGCAAAGCGCCACCTAAGGTAGCCAGGTGTCGCCATAGAGTCAATGGGCCATGGTCACAATATCGTGAACTAGAATGTACGGAGAGGACTTGCATGGGACCAGCTTAGTTGCTTCTTGGGCAGCCCATTTGCCTCTGGCAGCGTCTGGATGAATCCGGCACGCGCTTAACATACTTATCCAAGCAACTTGGCTTGGTGTTACAGGCATTGTGTGTATGAGCTCTTCTGCTTCGCTCAACCATCCTAAACGCCCAAGAACATCCACAATGCATCCATAGTGCTCCTCTCGACCAACACTCCTTCCATCCAGCTCTTGAAGCATCCACACGAAGTATAGCCTTGCTTGGTCGACCAGACCAACATGGCTGCACAGAGTGAGGATGACAGTGAAGCTGATGCTATCTGGTTGGATCCCATCCAAGTGCATTTCGTTCCACAGCTCCATGGCTTTGCTCGCACCGTTTTTGTGCCGGGAGGCTGCGAATCCCAGCTGAGCGTGAGCCGTGATCATCGCATTCCAAGACACCACGTCCCTGTACTGCATGTTATGGAAAAACTCCTCGGCAACTTGGAGCTTACCGCACTTCACGTACAAGTTGAGCACGGCATTCTCCACTGGCCGGTCTCTCTCCAGCCCGCTGGAAACAATCCTTCGGTGGATCATCTCGCCCTTCTCGAGCGTCTGCAAGTTTGCACACGCCGTGATGCTGCTCGCGAACACGAATGCATCGGCTCGAACTCTGCCTTCGCGTTGCATGTCGAGGTAGAAACTCAGAGCTCTTGGGTCCTGGCCGTCTCGAACGAGTGCCGCGATCATGATATTCCATGTCACAACATTTCTTCGACCGGCCACCTTGTCAAACACCCTCTCGGCCTCCTCCAGATCGCCGAAACTCGCATACATCTCCAACAGAGCGTTGGTCACCTCGATAGAAGCCGAGAGCTCCCGATCCAGAACTACGTGACTGTGTAATCTTCTGCCGGTCCGTTCATCGCCGGTTGCCGAACAGGCAGCCAGAACGCTTGCCAGGCAAATCTCATCAGCTCGGACTCCTTCCAGGTTCATCTTTGTATACAGCTCCAATGCATCGTGACCGCAGCCATGACGAACGTACGCATCGATCATCGCTGTCCAGGCCACCAGATCCTTTCTATGATCCACCATCTTGTCAAAAACTTCCACTGCCTCGTCCAAACTCCCACAGTTCGCATACATCTCAACCAAGGCAGTCGACGCGACGCTTGAGGATCCTCCTCCACCGTGCTCGATCCGTGCATGGAGTGCTCTTCCCACTGATAGCTTCTTGAGAAGCGAGCAGGCCGCGAGAACACTCGTCAGTGTCGAGATCTCAACCGGCTTCACCCCTTCCAGATCCATTTCCCAGAATGCTGTGAGTGCCTCCACTGGAAAGCCGTGCTGGGAACAGGCCGAGATAAATCCGTTCCAGTCCTTCTCTGTGTCTGGTGAATCCATGAAAACTCTCTTCGCATCTTCCACACTTCCACACCTCGCATACATGTTGACGAGAGCATTCTGGACGACAACACTTCCTTCCGGTTCAGGCCTGATCGTCAGAACTCGTTCGTGGACTGATCTGCCTTGTTGCAAGTCGGAGGAGGAGACCGCGGCACTAGAGAGCGTGAACATGTCGGGCTCCAAGCCTTCCACTTCCATCTCCCTGTACAGATTTAACGCTTCCTCGCCACAGCCAAGCCCGGCATTTGCAGCTATCATAATGTTCCAGGCAACCACGTCCTTGTCCTTGATTTTCCGGAACTTCCTCCGTGCCTCTCCCAAGTTGCCACACTTGGCATACATGTTGATCAGCGCGTTCTGTAAAGCAGCACTGCCGGAGGCCTCAAATCCCAGGCTGGTGGTTCTCTCATCGATCGCTTTCCCCTGCTCGATGAGCGCGAGACTCGAGCACGCTGCTAGTCCGGCTCCGAAAGTGAAAACGTCCGGCTCCATGCCTTCCAAGTCGATCGTCCAGAAAATCTCCAGAGCTTCCCTGTCATGTCCATGCTGGGCATTTGCCGCAATCATCGTGTTCCACGAGACGATGTTTGGCTGGGACATCTCCCGGAACAAACGAGCAGCGTCCTCCAAGCTGCCACTTTTCGTGTACATGTTTAGCAGCGAGTTCTGCAAGACAAGGTGAGTGCTTAGTCCGATGTCAACAAGCCGCTTGTGGAGACGCTTACCCAGCTCTAAGCATCCCAGTATGGAGCAAGCTCCCAGCACGCTGGAGAAGACGAAGCTATCGGCCTCGACTCCTTCCAGTTGCATCTTCCAAAACACTCGAAGAGCTTCTCTCCCATTTCCGTTGTCGACGTAAGCTGCGATGAGAAGCGTCCAGCTGAAAACGTTCGGCCGAGGAATCCTGTCAAAGGCAGCCCGAGCATCCTCCAAGCACCCCCATCTTCCATACATCTGAACGATAAGATTTCCCAGGAATGTCTCTCGGTCCCGCCCAGTTCCGGACAGCTGAGAGTGAAGCCGCCTCCCATCTTCCACAGACCTTGAGATTCCATACTGCCGTAAAAGAGCTGCAAACTCTGTCGAATCGACATCGTCAACTCCTCTGAAAGACGATGGCCGTGTTGAAACTTTCGTCGTCGCGGGAGGAGAGACGATCATCCTTTTGATGACGATAGATAGATTATTACCATCACCCAGCCATCAACAAGCCGGCGTTTTTTCTTTCCTTGAGCTTGCAAGATCCTAGGAAACTTTGTGGCGCATTTCCTGGATCATCTTGTCGCTTGACTGCTTGGCGAACAGGCGCTGCTTGAATCGGACGTAAGGATAAGTTGCCAGCGACAAAAAATGCGCCGGCTTGGAGAAGGAGAAGATCTCGTACCAGATGCTGTCATCTTCCTTGTTCCATTCCACAGAAAATCGCTCTTCACCAGCCTATAAACCACTCGATCGATCGATCATCCATTGTTGCAAAAGGAAAGAAGAAAAGAAGAGTTTTTTTTGCTGACTTACCAGGAGATGGCCCTGCAAGGTCCCACTTCCAAAGGCGTAGACGATTTTGTTGTTCTTCCTGGCTTGCTCTCGATCGTCGCGAATGTAGCGAATACGTAATGGATTCACGATCCAGAAAAGCCCTTCCTTGCTACACACATTGAATCCCTGGCCACGCTCGATCGGCGTCTCCCGCGGAACGAATGCCCAGCCCAGCTGGAAATGCCTGCGCAGCCAAGCATTTCTTCACGCCATCGCAAATCACTCCACAGAAAACCTACCGCCAATCTTGGAGCAAATTCTTGGCCCTGATGAACGCCTCCTCTTGGCCGTGGCCGATCTTCACCCTGGAATGGTTGATCGCAAACCCTTGGCGCTCGATCGATTGGAGGCGCTCGTCCGTCCACGCCGCCTCGCTGCAGCAGTCCTCTGCTGCGTAGTTGAAATCTAAATCCCTAAAGAACAAGGAACACGATAAGGATCGATACCGCAAAATCTTGCCTGTGATCCTTGGCCTGCGATGGCGGCTTGCTCCATCCCCAGCCCAGGAGCACCATATCTAAAACTAGGGCAAGAGAGGGATTGCATTGCATTCAAAGAAATTTTGTAGCTCCATGGCTTTGAGAGAAGCGGACGGTCCTATGAATGGTGTTCGGGGGAGAAGATTTTCTCTACATGGGAGAGCAAAACTAAACCAAACGAAGGCTTTTTCCTTGCCCGACGCTCCGATCGATGCCGGGATCGATCAATGTGTGTGAAACTCCTAGGCCTACTTCCTCTTGATCTTCTTCTTCTTGTTAGCGCTGCCACTGCCGCCGCCGCCGCTCTTCTTGTTCTTGTTCTTCAGCATGAGCACCGAGTCCTGGAACTTGGAGGGCAAAAGGGTCGCCCTCTTGCGCTTGGGCCGGCCAATTCGCTCCTCCTCGTCGCTACTGCTGCCGCCGATCGAAGAGGGCTTGCTCGGAAAACCATCGCTGGGCCGGGAAGGAGACGATACTGGCCCCCGCCTCCTCTGGAAGATCGAAAATCCCAGGCTCTGGACGAAGACCCTTCTCCCGGGGGGACGACAGGCGCTGGCCGCGGAGTCGTGGATTTGTGACTGGATGACAGCGCAATGAGCCAGCACGTCCAGAGCGAGCAAGCTCTCCACGGCAATTGCTTCCGCGGTGACGCTGGAATCGGCTTGATCCTCGGCCGACTGCTCCTCATGCTCGATCAGCGGCGTCGGATCTGTGGATTTCTTCGACCAATTCTCCCCCGACTGCGTAGCGCTGCCGCTGAAATATCCCCCGGCGTGCCCGATGGAAGGCGATGGAGCAGCATTATGGCTTGATGCCGTTCTCCTCTTGTTCTTGCCGATGCTCCACACTCCAGGATCGGGGAGGCGCTGGTGAGCCACCGATCCATTCCACGCTACCTCGGCGCCTGCCTGGGGCTTCATCGTCCTGTGCCGAGCGACGGCGATGCTGCCTCGCAATGGCCCTTGCTGGATCATGACCTCGTTCCAAGACGGCGAGGGGCAAGAGCTTCGAAATCTCTTGTGCTGCATTGAATTGGCTCTGCGGTGGAGAGATGGAGCTCCTGGTTGCTCGCTTCTGCCCGAAATCCTCAATCTAGTCTAGAGGGAAGCGCTGCGCTAGAGACTCCTAAAACAAGACGATCGCTCGGCTCTGGGGAATTGCATGGCGAGGATCTTGGACGCCGGCGAGGTGAAGAGGGGAGAGAGGAGGAAGAAGATCCATGGCGGTTGCCCTGCTTGCCCTGGACAAAGGAGAAATGGAAGGAAGAGAATCGGGTAGAACGCCTCGCCTCGCCTTGTGCACAAAGTGTTTGTTGGGACAGGGTTCGAACCCTGGCCTTCTTGGTTTGCCACGCGGCAGTCGCCAAGTGGCCCTTGGGCTTAATGCGGCTGTGGCCGGATGGGCCAAGGGAAAATGGGGGCGTCAAAGAGAAGGCATACAACAAACACATCGGCAGCAAATATTACTCTATCCCCGGGGTAGAAGATCCATCCGCGGCGAGGAAATAGGGCTTGCGCGATCGATCCATGGCTGCGCGGAGGCGATGAGGATTCCAGGTATGCCGCGGTTGCTGCCGTCTTGCCAGCATTGTGTACTCGATCGCTGCGCCGCGAATGCGGTGAAATGCCGCGCGGTGTCCGAGGAGGAGGAGGAAGAGGAAGAGGAGGAGGAGGAAGGACGAGAGGAGGATCAAAGAGAGGAATCCAAATGAGAGCTGGGCAATCGGGATCAGCATAGCAGGCCAGATTCCTAGTTAGTGTGTTCGTGTGATTAGGGCGACGGCCGTAGCTAATGGGGACAGGGCAGGGTAGCGATGCCGGCTTCGGGACAGATTACTTGACGAGGCAGCTCATCGCTCCGGCTGCTCCATCCGGATGCGCAACATTTCATCATCAATCCAGGAACAGGAATGGGTTTCGCGATCTCGATCGAGATATTGGAGGCGGTGTCGAGCAGCAGCAGCAGCAGCAGGCTATCAGGTTGGCATCGTTCTGGCGACCTCCAGCGGCAATCAAGCCCAATCCCATACACAATCCCAGCCCCATCAAGCAGCCCACATTGGCAGCAGCGCAATTCCAAGCGCCCGGCAGCTGTGACGACAAGAAGCCATTGATGCAGCTGGGCAAGAGTCGCAATGGGATCAAGCGAGTGCACGCCTCGTGCATCAATCACGGCCAAGCTGATCGATGCATTGGCGAGAGGATTGCTTTGCCTGTTACTCCGCCACCGCCACCACCTCCCCCAGCGGCTTCTTCTCTCGATTCCAAGCCTCCAGTCGGACTACTACACGGTGGTGGGTTTCATCGAGGGTGGAACAGTAGTGATGTTACGAGCACCCACATAAAGGTGGAGGCCGATCCTTTAGCGTCCAGCAAGAATTTGGGTGGGAAGAAGGATGCTGGACCGAGTCTTCCAGTTCCAGGCAAACTCTCTCTCAAGCGCTGCAAGCCCACCACTTCAGACGAAGTTTCAAAAAGACTGAAGAAGCCGAAAGTTGAAGCTTTTGGGCAGGACAAGCTCGAGTTCAAGAGAAGCTTGGCGCTTGTGATCAAAGCTCTCAACGCTCTATCTTGTTCTTCATTTGACGAGGAGGACGAGGGTGTCTTTGCAAAGACCCAGGTGCATGACTTGGTACCACCAGAGGAGAGCTCCATCCAACATGGTAGCTGCCGAACCAGACGCTCTGTCGATGCAGGTACGCCATCGCATTGCGGCAATTTGATCTGACGAGTGCATATCGTGACGCAGATTGTTCAGAAAGTAGCAACATCTCGTTCTCGAATGAAACCACTGGCCATCCGAGCAAGGACGAGGAGGTCGCTCCCCTTATACGCTCCAAACGGGGAAGGTCGCAAGCCTTGCCGACGAGATTACGTGACTCGGTGCTTGCTCCGTTGAAGAAACGTTCCACTCGAGGCTCCAAGCGCGAGATTGAAGAAAAAGCTCGTCCTGCTGAAGAAGCCCAACAAGCTGGGAGAAAGCACGATGCAAACTCTGTTACATCCAGGAGTGATGGCATCCATGAATCCCCGACATTGACATCAGTTGAAGTGCTGAGAAGAAAGGCGGAAGTGCGGTTTTCTCCCGCTGAAGTGGAGGTTACCTCTGTCATATCGTCGCAAAAGCTTTCCACGGTCACGGATGCGGAAACAATTTCAGAGTGCGATGGAAAAGCCGCTTTCATCACCTGTGGCTCACACTCCCTTGAAGAGTTTGACATTGGAGACATTGTTTGGGCGAAATCTGGGAAGAAGAAGGACCCTGTTTGGCCAGCAAAGGTAGTTGATCCTATCAAGGAGGTACCGGAGTCCGTTCGAAGGAAATGCGTCCCAAATCGGCTCTGCGTTATGTTCTACGGCGAATCTTTAGCGAGAGGAGTGAAACGACGGGTAAGCTGTTTCTACTTATTACTTGTTTGTACTAACTTCGATGCTTTAGGACTATGCATGGGTAAGAAAGGGCATGATATTTCCCTTCGTGGATTATTTGGAAAGGTAAGAATGTGAGTCCACAATTTTAGATGTGACGGACTTGTTGCTCAGGTTCCAGAGCCAAACATCATTTAACAAGAGTCAGCCGGGTGATTTTTGGTCTGCCATTGAAGAAGCAACTCTGGCCGAAGCTGGTTTCGAAGAATGTGAAGATGTTTGCAAAAAACCCTCTCACAGCGAAGATGAGAGCAAATGCGAAGATGCTAAGCAAAGGGTATGCAAACTTCTGAAAGTAAACATGCATAGCTCTAACGGAACATTGTGCAGATAAATATTTGTGTCGGTTGTGGAGCTGCTTTGTTCGGAAGGATAAAATTGAACCCCGTCCCTGAAGAGCTATTGTGCAGACATTGTAAAAAGGTCTGTGTATTTATCTTTGTCTTGACTTTCTTGGTCTTGACTTCTCGACTTCAGCTTTACAAATCAAGGCAGTACTGTGGAATTTGCAAGAAGGTTTGGCATCCAAATGACAAAGGCGACTGGGTAAAGCGTTCTTCTTTTATTTTTTCTTTTCTTTCTTTTTTCTAGTTTGCTGAATGCGAAACTTTTGTAGGCTGCATGCGACAATTGTGAAATCTGGGTACATGCTGAATGTGACAATATCAGCAGCAAGCAGCTGAAGGTTGTATTGAAACTCTCTTGACTGTCACATTAAAATTTCTAACAGTAACTAAACAAACAGGAGCTGAAACGCTGTACTTACTACTGTCCCGACTGCAGAAACACGCAGAACATTTCGAAGAAGCGAGGGACCGAGTAAGCTATACTCATCTGCATATCTCTTACATATTAACTTGTACCCTGTAGCTCAAACGGGAACAATGGCTCAACATACGTTCTTCCACGTAAGCTACTTGTGACATGTTCAGGGTGCGAAGCAGAATATTTGCCAAAGCATCACCGGTAAGCTATTGTCTTCCTCTTCCTGTCTTCTACTGACTGGACGATAACATTTACAGAATCCTTTGCAAGTGCGAACGATGTGGTGACGGAAAGCATATGCTACCTTCAGAATGGGAACAACACACTGGATCTAAGAAGAGAAGGTGGAAGGAAACTATCGTGGTCAAAAATCTGAACCAGACTCTTCTCTCCTGGGTATGTCCCGTGCATATGTTTTGCATCGAACTAATCCTACTCATCCTGTAGCTACGACTTATGCTGGAAGGCGGCGCTATCGGCCTTGCTTACGATGGTCCTGAACTTTGCACGCCAAACAGCTATCGTGTGAAGGAACTTTTGACATGTTTGGAAGGTAAGAACTTATTTTGGCAAATAAACAGAATGACCAAGCATTAGTTTTAGCGGCATACAAACCGGTTGTTCCTATCTGGACACCTGAAAGGTGTGCTGTTTGCCGATGGATTGAAGACTACGATGTGAACAAGATTATTATTTGCAACAGGTATTTATTTTCTGCTTAAAGATAAACTTGAGCCAGTCGCTATGTAGGTGCCAATTGGCTGTTCATGAAGAGTGCTATGGGGTCAAAGCTTCAGAAATAAGTGGTTCATGGGTTTGTCGAGGTTGCGAGACGCCTGATGCTGTGCGCGATTGCTGCCTTTGTCCCGTGAAAGGTAATCCGTCTTCCTGTTAAGTTTGTGTAAAATGTATCACTTGCTTATTACAGGTGGAGCACTCAAGCCTACCACTATCAAAGGTCTTTGGGTGCATATTACGTGTGCTTGGTTTATTCATGAGGTGACGTTCAAGGATGAAGTAGCAATGGAGCCAGCCGCAGGCATTACCCGAATCGATCTAATGCGTTTCCGCGAGGTTTGTGCCGAGAGCCCTTACTTCCACCTTTGTCCTAATTTTTACTTCTTTCTCGGTGAAGGCCTGTGCAGTTTGCAAGCAAATTCATGGGGTCTGTATACAGTGCAACAAATGTAAAACCCTGTATCATCCAATGTGTGCTTTGAGAGCCGGATATCACATGGAGGTAAGCTCTTCAGCTTTCAGTTCTATCCTATACACGATGATGTTTCAGGTTCAGATTTCCTATAAGAAAAATGGTTCTTTTGAGACAAGAATGATAACTTATTGCGCCACGCACAAGTATTGTCTTGTTATTTATTTCTGTTCAGAGCTAAAAGAAATGTTGCAGGGCGCCAAAGCCAGATTCATACATACAATATACTACAGACAAGGGTGTTTCACTGGGAAAGAAAGAACGGTTCAGTAATGGTCAATCTTCCAAATCTTCGAGTACATTCAACTCCTTTCCTAAGAAGCTGTGCGATGATCTAGAAAAAGAGTTTCAAAATTTTCGGCGATCTAAAAACCCAGCTGCAAGGTGTCAAGTTTATGGTCAGAACATGTATTACAAGGTGCTTTTGTTTGGCTTTGTATTTCAGTTTATGAATTTTTCGTGCGTTTCTTGCAGAGAAGCAACAGAAGTCCGATAGCTTACAGGGTGATGGGATACAGTCATCACTCTACGGAAAGCATAGATGCCCTTCGGGTACGAAGTTCATGTATGATTCGATGGTGTGCTAAATGTTGTTCATGGCAGGATTTTCCGGAACTCGAACATGAGGACCTTGTTGATATGAAGACGAGGTTGTCGTTTTTGGAGGCAAGTGGCATTACATGATTGTTATCATCATTTTCTTTGTTCTTTTTCTCTTGTCCAGAAAACTGAAAAGTCTCGAGTCTGCTTCGGGAAGTCGGGTATTCATGGTTGGGGATTGTTTGCGCGCAGGACCATCGAAGAGGGAGAAATCGTAAGATAACATTGTTTCTCCTAGGTGCTTGGAGTCTAATTTCCTTGACGCAGGTTGTTGAGTACCGAGGCGAGCAAGTGAGAAGAAGTGTCGCCGATTTGAGAGAAAAGCGATACCGTGACCAAGGAAAAGATTGCTACGTAAGGATTATCATTTTTCTTACCATGTTGGTAACGTATCAAACCGTCTTGCAGTTGTTCAAGATAAGTGAGGAGATTGTAATCGATGCCACTGAGAAAGGGAACATAGGTCGGCTCATCAACCACTCGGTGTGTTGATTTTAAAAACATCCTGCTTCTTTATGCTGATTTTTAGATATGGTGTCTTTGCAGTGCTCACCCAGTTGCTATGCACGAATTTTATGCGTTGATGGTGAGGAAAGCCGCATCGTTCTCATTGCGAAGCGAAATGTGGCTGCGGGCGAGGAGCTTACGTAAGTTGCATATCGTTTGTTCATGGTTTAGTCATTTGTTGCTTTCCTTTATCGTTACAGATACGACTATCAGTTTGAGGAGGAAGACAAGAAGGTTCCTTGCTTGTGCGGATCCGACTCGTGCCGGCAATACATGAACTAGCGGCACAACTTGATTTTTACATAAAAGAGAGGAGGATCAAGGCAGCGCTGTACATTATCCCCGGAGGTGAGAACATATATATAGATATATACACTAGACTGGAAACTGGAATCAAGAGAGCAGTGCTTTTAGAACGCAAAGAAGATCCAACCCATCCCCCAGCCGAGCATGAATCCAGCACCAGCAAGCCCCAGGCCCAATGCAAACGCCACAGTGCAGCGCAGCAGCAGCTCTTCCGGACGAGTAGCACCACCACCTCGTTCCAGCTTCGTCTTCTTGTGGTAGTGGTGGTGCTGGTGGTAATTCCAACGCTTGGAAGAAGTCTGGAGCTGCGGGCAGTGGTGGTGAAAGTGGTGGCCGAGTGACTTTGAAGGAAAAGCAGCGTGACACATCCGAAGGCACAGATTCTCGGCTTGCAGCGATACGAGCCACTGCCTGTAGGCCAGCGACATGGATGCCTCGCGGAAGAACAGACGCATCAGCTCGTCCTTCTCTCGAAACGCACGCACCGCCAGCTTCTCCGCTTCTCGTGCCCGTGTCTGGGAGCGGCACAGCGCCTCGCCAAGCAAATCATGCGCTCGGGGCCCGGTCGAAGATCGAGGACTGTTACTACTGCTGCAAGACCTGCCAAGACAAAAAGAAAAACAATTGATAACGCTCAAAACAAAAGGAAAGATTTCCAACTTACGTTGGTTTGATGCTACTGTGCGCTTCCGGAGACGGCGGGGGAAGATCGCAGTTGGCGATGTTGCCAGATCTTTGCGAGACGATGGCTGCGAGTTCATGGCTTCCGGCGGTTCGCCAAGACACTGGTAGTGACGACGACGAGGTTGTCACGGTTGTGGAGTCGAGGGAGGATTTTAGATGAGCGGTTTCTTCGCCGGATTCAACTCGGTGCTGGCCAAAGTAGCTCCCCTTTGTGACGTAGATCCGCTGCCTGTGCCGCTCCTGATCGATGAGCTCTGCGTACTGCGAGTGATCCGGCCACAGGAGGAACTCATCCTCCTCTTTCATCAAACTCTGGAGTTTTTGCTGCTGCCGCGTGGAAGGCTTGCTTGACTTGTGCTTGGTCGTGGCCCACTGCCAATCGGCAGCCATGGCGGAGTCAAGGCATCCAGATCTCGCAAAGCCCCTGCAGCATTCCATTTCACCATCTCTATCTAGATCGAAAGAGGAGAAGAAACTCACTTTTGATCGATTGAGAAAGGAGGAATGCGTTGGTTGGATTCCCTTACGTGTAGAAAAGCGCTTGCTGCTGATCTCTCATAACGCTGCCGCCGCGATCAGCCATGGGCTGATCGAGGGATCGATCGATCGCCCTAATCTCCGTCCGCGTCACATTGGCGCCAAACCTGGCCTGGAATCCTCGATCATCCGCCACGCAACGCCGCGATCTCCTCTCCTCTTCCACGGGCGCGCGAGGATGCTGTGGGGCGGCACGAGATCGCTACTCCAAATTACCGACCCGTGCAAGCATGCGCTTGACACGTCACGAGACTAGAGAAATAAAGGACAAAACATGTAAAGGTAAAATATTCCCCGATTTTTTGGAGGAATCAGTTCGAGAAGATTTTAGAGTTTATCTTTATGGCTGTTAATGAGCGCTTTCACTGTATCGAGACCAAAAGGATTTCCTTCTTCGATCACTTTGAGCACGGTGCCTCCACCTGTGAAGAGATAATACTTGGGACTGTCCAGTGCCTCGTGATACAAGCCAGGATGCAAGCTGCCAGCACAAAAAAATCGATCAATCCCCATCCAAAGGAGCAAAGATTTAGGAAGAACTCACCTCTTAAACACCTGGAGCGTGTCACCTCCTCCAAACAGCTTCTGAGCTCCAGTGTTACGGTCGATGACTTCATCCATCTTGCTGGTGCCGTGCCAAAAGTGGGGCATCAGGCCCATCACCGCATTCACGAATATGGCTTTGGCGGACGACAGTGACTCCCTCACCTCACCCGACTCGAATGACGCCGGATCGACGTCCACTATGTACTTATATTCCTTCCCTGCTTGAAACTCCTGTTAAGCCATCTAGAAAAGCTTAGAGGCAAGCAAGCGAAAACAAACCATAAGCATCACAAACCTCGATGGATATAGTGCGGAACTTGTTCTTGTACCGCCCATCAAGCGTGTCTGACTCGACCAGGAGAGGCAAGTCCAACACTTTCTTTTGTTTCTTGTCAAGCTCCAGAAGGCCCCTGGCCAGATCGATATCAGACTCCTGTAGAAATCAATCCATTGAGTTAATGGACAAGAGCATGGAACGGCACAATTGCGCACACCTGAACTCCGGCAATCGAGATGTCATACTTGGCACATAGATACGTGTTGTAAATCACTCCCCCCAAAATCAGCTTGTCAACCTTCTTGTAGATTTCGGTGAGCGGGCCTATCTTGGTGTCGTACTTGGCACCAGCAACGATCGCTACAAATGGTCGCTTTGGTTCGAGAACAGCCTTCACGTTGCTCAGTTCATCCTAAGGAGCCCAGAGATAAGAACAAATCAACTCCGTGTTTGCATGACAAAAGTTACTTGCCTGCATGCACAGTCCCGCAAAAGATGGAAGGTACTTGGCAATGTGATACGTTGACGCATGAGATTGCCATGACCCAAACGCATCATTCACATACACATCCGCAAGTCCAGCTAGTTGAACAACGAACCTCTCCATTTTCTCTCCCTTGTCTTCCTCTCCCTGTTGTGAATAGCTCGAGAAAAATATGGAAAAATCGAAAGCTCGTTCCTTACCGCAAACCAGCGTGTGTTGGGAAGATAAACTCCTCCGATTTTCCTCGAGCGGAGGTCGTGGATGAGCCAATTAATGGAGGTGTCAATGTCCAGAATGCCATCCTTGTCACTGTGGTGGAACTCCGGGACAACGAACTTGATTCGGAGCTTCCTCTGAAGGTAAGCCACCACAGCATCCACGGAATCATCCGAGCTGATGGTGATGCTCTTGTTCTTCTTGTCAAATGGACGCCCGATGTGTGTCATGACAATTAACCTGTCATCTATGCCTCAACAACTTCCAAAGGCGGCATTTTTAACACTCACCGGCCACCCCTTTGCACTATGTTGAACATGGTTGGAAGCGTAACATCGATGCGGTACTGATCCAAAATCCTTCCTGCCGCACAAATCGATGTCAGAAAGGAGAGAATTCTGTCGAAAGCCTTACCTTTCTTCACAACATTGTGATCGACACGGAGGAGAACCACCTTGTCCCGCAAATCAGCTTCCTGTAGCAGAGGTAACTTTGGATCCAAAGACGCAGTGTTACTCCCCCGTTCATCATCCACACTGTAGCCAATTTGCAAAGTTCCATTGTTGTTGCTCTCGGGACCGTAAGGAGCCATGCCTCCCTTTTACTTTTTCTTCCTTCTCTTCCTCCTCATCGTGCTGCTTGTGACCTGTATATAAATAGCTGCAGCCAAGTGCCCAAATTTATCATCCAATCCAATAATTCTCACGGGTCTTACTCACTGTTACAGCTCGATAATTGGGGTGACACCACACGCTTACGTGTTTCGCAGTCGCCATTCCATTCCGGTAGCTTGTGTCCTTCCCAAGAATAGAAGAGCTCCCACATTATAAATTGGACCATTTCATTCACACGAGCCGTGTCAAATAAACTTTACAAGAAATACTTCATGCGGCTATCACACCGCATTGCATTGTATACAGCGCGCACCTGCTTCCACAGTGACGAATGAGTGAGTACCTGTCTCAGTTTTAAAGATTGAGCGAACCTGTTCACTCGATTGCACTGCAACAGGCCCGATTTTCACTGATATGTACTTGCCTTTGGATGAGAGCTTGCTGCTAATCTCCTCCTGTAAAATGGGGACGAGTGTAGAAAAGACATAAAACAAAAGCGTCCTATCACGCACCGTAGAGACAGAAATTTGAAGAACAGTTTCCACAGCCAAAACCATTGCTCTGACGAAGTCATCACCACCGGTTCCAATGGCTGTGAATCCACGCTCCATAGGGTACGTATTCACCTTAGACACAAAGAAAAAAGAGTTAACAAACATATATGTTACAGGCATCACTCACCTTACTATCGAGTGCCTGCCATTCATCCACCACGGTTCCTCCCATCACCACATTGGTTGTCCGAGAAACTCTGTTGTCGGCCCTGGAAACCTCTGTAGCTAGAAGCGGCATGGACCAAACAAATCAGGCAGCTCTGCATTACCTGAAATGGCTTTGAGGACAGCGTCCTGGACAGGAACGGCATCGCTCTCGCTGCAAAGCATCCGCATCCGCCGGGGCTTGAAAGATCGGCGCCATCGCTCCAGCGTTCCAGGAGGAGTTCCCAGAGCCACGATCGCCATGCCCCTGATAGCCATATATCGCCCTAGAAGAACCCTAGTGTCCTCGCGTTAACGTTAGATTAGGTTTCCCGCCAAAATTTGAAGCCGATCCTTTTCCGTAGTGTATTGGGGTACGGACGAGGGGATGTCGTGTGCGTCTTCGTCTTCCAAGCGAGCTCCTCCGGTGCTTGGCTATGGCAGCAACGAGGCTAGGGCACGCTACGAGGCTTATTCTCGGCTGCAAGCGACGGCGCTAGCCTTTGGAGAGCAGCTGTCCATCCCGGAGATTGTGGCCGTGGGAGGCCAGTCGGATGGTAAGAGCTCGCTCCTGGAAGCACTGCTGGGGTTTAGGTTCAATGTCCGCGAGGTGGAGATGGGCACTCGTCGCCCTCTCGTGCTCCAGATGATCCACGAGCCAGCGGCGGTGGATCCGCGATGCCGACTGCAGGTACTGCTAGTAGCAAGTGAAGTCGCTGCCTAGAATTTTTTTACATTCTTTTGCGTTTCAGCATGAGGACGACGAGGAGTATGGGCCTGTCATAGTTCCGCATTATGCTGTGGCTGAGGCAATCAAATTAAGGACCGAAGAACACCTCAAGAAGATCCGTGCGGCAGTCAGCTCCAAGCCAATTGTGATGCGTGTGGAGTATGCGTATTGTCCCAATCTCACCATCATCGATACACCGGGTTTTATTCTCAAGGTAGCGCTTCTAACTAGTGTTACTAGTCCTCCGTTTTATACATTTTTCTACTTTTCATATGGCAGGCGAAGAAAGGCGAACCAGAGAGTACACCCGATGATATCCTTCAGATGGTCCGGGCACTGGCATTGCCACCAAACAGGCTGCTGTTGTTCTTACAGCAAAGTAGCGTCGAGTGGTGCTCCTCCTTGTGGCTGGATACAGTTCGCTCTATAGATCCTGGTTTCCATCGCACTGTGGTGGTTGTTTCCAAGTTTGATAACAGGCTGGGGGTAAGTCTCTCTCTTCCTTTTTCTCGTGGCTGATACCCATGTCTGCTTCAGGAGTTTGCGGAGAAGTGGGAAGTTGACCGCTATCTCAGTGCTGGGGGTTATCTAGGTGATCATGTTCGTCCTTTTTTCGTTGCCTTGCCAAAGGACAGGGGATCTGTTACAAACGAAGAGTTTCGTAGTCAAATTGCCAGCGTAGATGCAGAGGTGTTAAAGCATCTCCGCGAAAGGATCAGTGGTGGGTTTAGTGAGGACAAATACAGTGGCAGCATTGGATTTGGAAACCTCCGCAACTATTTGGAAGCTGAACTCCAGCGAAGGTAATAGGTGAATTATGAGTTCCCGAACTAGCTCCTTTGTGAATCTGCAGGTACCGAGAAGCAGCTCCAGCTACACTCGCTCTGCTCGAGCGAAGATGCAACGAAGTTGCTGCAGAACTTGCGACTGCAGATGCAAAGCTCTCCACCGCAGGTGATATTGCCTCATTGCGGAAATCTGCGATGATACATACGGCGGCTGTAGCAGGTCACATGGTATGTCTCTGGGATCAGTTTTTAAAATGTTTAGTTGTTTGTATGTTTTGTGGACAGGGAGGTTTGCTGCATGGTGCTGCAGACCTGGATCCTCTAGAGTGGGGATTGACAACAGATGAAGAACGGGTACAAAGCGGAGCGAAAAAGTGGCCAGGCCTCACAGCTGACATCCAGCCGCCGAATGCGATTCTAAAACTTTATGGAGGAGCTTCTTTCGAGCGGGTTCTTACCGAATTCAAGTGTGCCGCCTGTTCACTCGAATGTCCTTCTATTTCAAGAGAGACTGTGAGTCTATTGTGATGGTGACTCCTTGGTTCTCACAAGTTTTCCAGGTTGCAAATGTCTTGCTTGCACATGTGGGACGATCGGGAGGAACATTTGCCGCTGCCGCGTCAATCGCTCGTGCAGCTGCACAATCATGGCTTGGACCACTTCTTGATACTGTTTGTGATCGCCTTGGTCACGTTCTTCGTAATCTTTTTGATCTGGCCGTTGAGCGCATTCGCACTCAAGACTCCACGAATAGTAAGTTGCTAGAGAGAGCTTTCAACAACTTGTTCCTGATTTATCTGTGCTTCTTCATACTGCAGGCGTGACAGGCTATGTGGCCTTTCAGGCAGCTGTGAGACAAGCGCACGATGGTTTCGTCCAGGAGCTGGTGAAAGAATGCAAAGGTTTGGTGCGGCACGAGCTGGCGGCAATCACGAGCCCGTACTCACATCTAAACTTCTGGGAGAATAGCTTTGGCGATGGGATTACTGCGGACATGCACGGTGCAGTGACTGACGCTGTGTCAGAAGAATTGGAAAATCACGCTCCTCAAGGTTCCTCTAAGCCTCAAGCCGCAGCTAGAGTCTCAGACTGCCCGCTGAAAGAAAGTCAACTTACTATACCGGAAACGCCGTCTCCGGAGCAGTCGAGCAGTGACGCCAAGAGGAAGGAATACGCCATTGCAAGCGGGAGGATTGCCGACGTCACCTTTGCGACAAGGAAACGCCATGGAATGCCTGTGGGAGCTGTCAGCACTCGCATTGGACCGCTGAAAGAGGCCAGGCACAGCCTCAACAAAACTAAATCGGTGTACGACGAGGTGTGTTCCCTGGCCATCGAGCAATTCACGCGGATCAGAGAAGTTCTCGTCGAGCGCAGCGTCCCGGCTGCGTTAAATGCTGGCTTTCTCACGCCATGGTAAGGCCGATCTAGTTACTGTTTCTGCTGCTAACGAGTCAGAGTGTTCTTGTGGATGCATATAGCCAGGAGCGACTTGCTCTGGCACTGGGGCTGGAGCTCTTTGCAGTGAGCGACGAGCAGTTTATGGACATGTTCGTGGCTCCAGGCATGCTGGAGCAGCTGGAAAACGAGCGCGCATCCCTCCAGAAACGCTACAAGACTCTGCGATCGTGCCTCCATGAATTTCGTACGCTAGCTCGTTCTCTTTGACAAGGTAAGACTTTTACAATTTCACGATAGATTTGCTTCCTTATACATTAAATTGGACTAGTAGTAACGAAAACTTACAGGTTCTCTGGAAGAAAACGCTGGATTGATTAACTATCTTACAGTCCTAGTTCAAAAGGTATTTCAAAGTTGATAATTTGACGAGGCGACCTTTCGCCTCTTGTTATTCATCACCCAGGAAATTCAAAACCTCTGGCTTCTAGGTTCAGAATGTCTTGCCAGTCGCGTACAAGGTCTCTAGTCACATCCGACCAGGCCAGGTGTTCGAGCAACGGGATCGACGAAACGTCCAGGCTCTGCAAACAAGCCGCTCCCTAACATTGCAATTGATCATTTCCTTTTATTCAATTCATCAGTCTTGTTGTGGATGCGTGCAGCCAGGAGTGACTTGCACTGGCACTACTGGAGGTTTTTGCAGTAAACGACATGTTTATGGGTCCGGGCATTGAAAACGAGCGCGCATCTCTCGAGGAGACTCTCTCCATGAGATTCGTGCATCTCTTTGACAAGGTGAGACTACCAATTTTGTAGAGTTTTCATCTTGTACATTCAAGGTTAATAAGCTGGCCAGTGAATTCATCTGTCATTAAAGTGGGGTGATTGATCGTATGCAAAGATTTTTGTTACAAAAACGACGCTACCTCGCAGCTCGTGTGGCATGAAATCTTCTGCCGTCCTAAAGCATTTTTCTGGAGAGTAGCAGCTCAAGTTTGTCACCTGGCTTGTGTAGAGACAAGCAAATCTCTCGACCTGTAACACGAAGAGCTCAAATTCTTATTCCATAGCTTGTAATAACTCGCACCTGATGGGCAAATCGAGAGGTTTGATGCCCAGCTTTCATAAGCTGTCCCCATGTTTTATGAAACTGCAATAAGCAAAGGTATAAAAAGCCTACACCTTCTCTTCAAGAAAATCCAAACCTGCTCATGAAATTTGCGTTGCATGGTCCGATGGCTCTTTTGGACTTCATCTCTTTCCCTCTGAAATCAAGTGAGAAACGTTTTTCATTCGTAAGGCACGTTTTACCTGCAATGCTTCTCGCTTTTCTTGCAAAGGGCCCTCCTCCTCCTTGGTTCCTTTAAAATACCTGTGTTGCCAAAAATCCCAACATTTGTCTGAAAATATAGAGCTTTACAGAGCATACTTCAAGGTCCACTCCAGCTTCTGTAACTCATCTTCGATCTCCTCACGGCTATGGCGAAGTCTTTGAATTTCCTGGGTGATCGATGAATAACAACAAGTGAGCTTGCCTGATCAACTTTGATATACCTTTTGAACCGCTCTGGACGATTGTAAGAGCTCAACTTCCCGGTCAAGCTCGGGTACGACGAGCATTGTACGCCAACCTAGGATTTAAGCTTCTAGCAGAGTTATAACGAGAAAGCTTTTGAAGTACCAAGTTGCTTTTTGCTGCGGAGGATGTCGCCATATATATGATCTCCACAATACAACACCTGCAATTAAAAGTAAACTCCCGGGTTAACCAGACACCTGCGAACCTGAGCGCCGGCATCAATCGCAAGCAGCTTGTGTAGGTGTGACACTGTTCCTCCCTGGCGCATTTGATACGAGCTGAATGTGAGCTTCCAGATCCAGACAGTGTGATGAAGTTCTTGCCTGGTATACTTTCGAGGCTTGTCTTGTTGTAGAGAGCGGGATCAGCCCAATCTAAGACAAAGACCCAGTCAAATCCGATGAAAAGGTATAGAAGGTAGCACCGTACCTGAGGAACTGGTGTGCCATTATCCGTGTTGTGAAGCATACCTGTCTTAACATCTACAGCAAACAGAGGCGCCTGATTGCCATCCATGAAAAAGGACGGCTTGGCACTGGTAAAAAAAAACGAAAAATGAAGATATGAACGATGCTAAATGGTCATTGGTAATGAATCTGCATCTACCTGCCCGTAATGACAAGGTCGAAGTAATCGAGCCAGTTCTTGTCGGCGGAGAAGAGGAAGTTCATCACAACATGCGTATAATCCCACAAACTAAACGTAGAAACAACTTTGGCAGGAAGTCAGCAGAAAGAATTCTTTCACCTGTTGGTGACCAAGAATGTCAAGCGGCCAGACTCGCGCAGCATTTTAAGCATTGAGATTAGCTGCTCATCAGCATATATGTATCTGAGAAAAGGCACTGAGCTTTTTAGCAGCTCGTAGACACATGCTGCTTACTTGGAAGGATCATCAGCGACCGCTTGCTTCAACGTACCATCCCTGTGGCACAAGTCGACCGCGGCACGAACATCTTTGTAGATTTCAGCATATCTGCAAGAAAAGAAATAAAAAAGTGGCGGTCAGCGAAAAAGAAACGTACACAGGAACAACAGAAACACGTACGTGGGAACTACAGGAACATCGTTCTCACAATAGACCCTGCACGAAGGAAACAACAAAATTTGCATATAGTTGTCAAGAAAACAAGTATAGTACTCTGGCTGAGACGGAAAAAGTTCTGGATCAGTGTCTTTGAGCTCAACAAGCTGAGCAAAGAGATGCGCCTCTGCCAAGGAGAACAAGGTGTCGATAAGCGCATAATCAGGCTCATCATAAGAGTCACGGGAGAGCGTATTCCCGTAAGCTGCCGTCCGCTCTTCTCTGGACAGCTCCTGGAATCCATGATAAGCAACCTTGACATACTTGTGGCGATCCATCTGTTATTAAGTTTCGTTACAACTTACGATAGGAAGAGCGCTAAACCAACCTTGAGAATGTTTCCACGACGTTTGTCAAGCACCAAGCCTCTCACCATGTACTTCCAATCGAACTTCCAGTCCAATATCTGTTCGTGTAGAGCGCGAGTGATATGGAATTTCGTGTAGTAGTAGTATGGAAACTCTTGCCTGGCGGGGGTAGCCGAGATTGTAGACGAGCTTCTTGGCAGTGGCTTGGTATGCGAGCAGCTCAAAAGTCTCTGGCCTGTACTGCGCAAGCGTGTAGTCGAGATCAAATCCCACTGCCGAGATGCTCCTCATGTTGAGTGCCCGGTTGCAATAGATCATGGTCCTGTGATCAAGGCCAGTAGCCGCATGCGATGGTGGCGGCACAGCTTCGCGATGATGTGCTAACCATCACACCGTCAATCCTGTGAATTCGTGACCGTGAGCGAGGGATTGGCTTACCATTGTGTGAATTGGTGGATGAATCCGCCCATACTGGCGCTGGCGCTGGCGCTGGCGATGGCGATGAAGTGGTAGCGGTGGTGTAGAGCTGCACCAATCTAAGATTTCCCTGGCACCACAGAGATCCATGAGGAGGAGGAGGAGGAGGAGAAAGAGCGGGACAAGGTTGGCGACGAGCGAGATCGAATGCAGCTAGTCTTCGGAGAGCTTGCACAAATCTTGGCCCCATTCCTGTCGCCGCCTCATCTACAAAAGGATGCCAAGCCACTGCTAGCCTAGGGCTCTGGAATATTCTACTCCCCTCACAAAACTCTATTCATGGACTCGTGAAGCTCCTCCTCCCATTCTCTGGTAGCAGCTCGCAAGCATCTGGCGGGCAGCGTCCGCAGCGGCCGATTGTGGGGAGGAATCGAGCGCGAGGCATTCCTCCAGATCGGCAATGGCGGCCTTCACCCCTCGCTTGGTCTTGAATGCGTCGAGGCTGATGGACGCGCGCTTGATCAGCGCCTCCACCCTCTCCGACTCCGTCAGGCTCTTGGACGCCGGCGGCGACAGCGCCGTGTTGAGCGATCGCAGCGCGGCAGTGAGGTGCCCCAGGTGTTGCAGTGCCAGCGCCTTGACGATGTGAGGCGCGGCGTCCCGCGGATCGCAGGCGATGGCCACATCGCACTCGCGGATGGCATCCCGCGCCAGAGACGAGCTCTTGCCCCTGCTCCTCCTCCCCTCGTCCGCTAGCTCCTTGCGCTGCCGCCGTGCTCGGGCCAGCAGATGGGCCGCCGCCATGAAATGCTGGCGACAATCTGCCCGCTGCTGCGACTTGCGCCTCCACCACCCCGATCTGCCACCGCCCAGCATGCCATTCCAACGTGCCAGCCCCCACACGAGCGCCATGGCCAGCGCGAAGCACGCCATCCACGCATCCACCCGCTCCATTTTAGGGTTCTTCAGCTAGGTCTTAACGAATGGAGCACGAAGCCACGGAGCTTGTTCACATTGTCAAGGGCGTGGCGGCGCCGGTGGTGATCCGCGAGCAGCGCTCCAGAGGCCTATCGTTCCAGGTGTGGCCAGCGGCATCGGCATTGTGCAGCTTCCTCGAGGAGAAGCAAACAGAGTGGATGGTTCCGGGCGCGAGCGTGCTCGAGCTGGGATCGGGCCCAGGCTTGGTAGGCCTTGTGGCTGCACGGCTGGGCGCCGCCAGGGTGCTGCTCACGGATCTTCCACAGGCCATTCCAAATCTCGCATACAACGCCCAGCGAAACTTCCCTGGCGATGGTGGCGCGGTGATTGAGGCACGGACGCTGCGCTGGGGCGTGGAGGAGGACGTTGCGCAGCTTGCTCAGGACTGGAGCTTCGACTTGATCGTGGCCTCGGATGTTGTCTACTACGACTATCTCTTCCAGCCTCTGCTGCAAACGCTCAAATGGCTCCTGTCGTCGTCGCCGCCGCAGGACCGACCCCCCAAAGTCTTGCTCGCGCACATCCGGAGGTGGACGAAAGACACCAAGTTCTTCAAGATGGCGCGCAAGTCATTCCAGGTGGAGGTTGTAGCCACGTATCCCCCGCCACCCGGGAACAAGAAGCCAGTCGTCATTTACTCCCTCGCTGCCCGATGAATGAATGAATCAATCCAATCTTTTGCGGAAATGCGAGACGAGGAGGTCGGCCAGATCCGTGAAGCCGTTGAATCGGTGGCCAATCACATCAACGTCGACTCCCAGCTGCTTGGCACCCCGGGCGGTGACAGGGCCGAAGGCCACCAGCACGCACGGCCAGAGCGAAGCGAGCGTGAGGTGGTGAGCCTGGAGCGCCATGAGCAGCCCCTCCACCTCGGCGGTGCTGGTGAAGACGAGCGCATCAACTGCGCCGGCGAGCAGCGGCGTGACGCTGGCGGAGCCGGTCCACGAGGTAGCGTAGGCGTCCAGCCGCTCGACGTCCCAGCCGTGGCGCTGGAGCGCCGCCACGAAATTTGGGACCACGTCCGGCTCGGACAGCCCGCCGCAGACGTAGGGAACCGGGCAAAGCAGCCGGCGTCCAGCGCCATCGCCCAGCTCCTCCACCAGTGCGTCGGGTGTCGCCACCAGGGGCACCACCACCGTCAACCTCTGCTGCTCGCGGTGCTCCTTGAACAAGTCCAGCTCCTGGATGAGCTCGGCGTCCTTGCCCAGCGCCCCCACCACCAGTTCCGCGCAACCAGATAATCGCACTTCTTCAAGAGCGTGCGCGATGGATGCGATGCCGGACCTGGACGTGAAGGCGATGCAGCTATAGGTGTGGAGGGCAGAGACGGCGCGGCGGACACTGGATTGGGTGTGTGGCATGCGCTCCACGGCTATGGTGGGGCACGAGACTGTGGCGGCTCCCTCCCTGTCTAGTGCTTGCTTCAGGCGGAGCGCGTAGCTGCCGGGCGCCGTGAATGCCACTCGCAATCCCCGGAGGCGCCCATGGCCGAGAGCAGCGCTGCATTTCCATGGCGTATGCCCTAGCTCCATTGCTGGACACGTGGCACATAAAGCCCTAATCCTCGCAAAAAGAGATAAGGAGATCCTTTGCTATCTCCATCTTCTACAATGCCGCCCGGAGCACAAGCTTTTCCTCTTGCTCTTCCTGCCCAGGTCGGTCACCACATCCCATTTCTCCTTGCCTTGATCTCGCGAGGTTGATGGAACTCAACTGGTGAGCGCAGGGGGTGGTGGCGGAGGCACGGATCTCCCTGGATGACTTGCACAAGAGGATGCAGCAGAGCGAGGGCAACGCGTCCAGCATCGAGCGGCAACTCAACGACGTCCGGACGCACCTCAAGGCGCTGCGCGACCAGGTGACGCTCGACGAGACAAACGTGCAGAGCATCGACCTCGACTCCATCGCCGCATGCCTCAAGTCGCACGCCGATGAGCATGATCCGGAACATGTCCTTGCCGCGGACAATCCTGATCGCGAAGAGGTGCAGCTGGCTCTGGAAGGAGTTGACGCCGACTTCACAAGGCTGAAGCACAAGGTTGACGAGGTCCAGGCCGAGCTCCAGATCTCATGGATGTCTCTCACCACGCTGCAGCTCCAAGTGGAGGCCAAGCGCGGCGGTTGCGGCGCAATGCTGCTGGGTGATCAACTCGGCGGCAAGAACCGCACGCTGGAGCAGCTCAGTGGCTCATATGAGCGCCTCCGCCACGCTTTCATCGACAAGGAGGAGGAGCTGAGGCGCGAGAGGCAGCTGGCCAGCAACACGCTCACGGCGCTGGCTGTGACGCACAGGGACATGGACCTCAAGATTGAGTCCGTCAACCGGGAACTGGAGCGTCTCAAGGCTCTGGCGCTGCAGCTCCGGGACTGGTGCTCGGCCACGGAGATGATGGCCGATGAGCAGTGCACACAGCTCAAGCAACTCAGGGCGGATCTCGCATCCATTGCTTCCCGCCTGCTTCACATGATCGACTGGGGTGACCCTGCTCCCAAGCAAGAAGCTCACGATGACAAGCTGTTCCAGAACGTTGAGGAAGGTTGTTCCGCTGCTGCCACTGCTGGCCATGGTGTTGCGCCCCTGTTGGAGGTGCAGCCACCTCCACCACCACCCCGAGGGGACATGTTCCAGGCGATGTCCAACCGACTCGAGGTGCTGGTGCAAGAGTTGAGGTCGGGAAGGGCGGAGCAGGACAAGATGATCGACTCGCTGTGGTCGCCACCTTTGTGTGGAGACCCTTCTCCACGAGGAGAAGAAGTCATGAACAAGGGCCCGAACGTGGGGAAGCGAAAGCTTTCAGAGGCTTTCACTGTTGGTCAGCAACAACAACAGCAGCAGCAGCAGCAGCTGGTTGGCGATGAGATTGCCGACCGAGAAAAGGCATTTTTGTGGCAGAAGAAGGCGTTCTTGAGCGGCTTGCGTGAATCTTTCCAGAGGGTGCGGCAGAGGGAGGTGGCGTGCGCGAGCCTAGACAGGCGTCTGCTCAAGGCCCGGCTGCTGCTGGAGCAAGCGCAACGGGGCTGCATGAGCTCCGACTCGGTGTCCATGAAGTCCAAGCGGCACATCGAGCAGGCGTACAAGGAGCTCGTCCACGTCCAGCGAGACATCGACAACATCAAGGCGGTGAGCCTGGTGGAGCGCCAGGAGCTGTCCACCGAGCTGGTAAGCGATGATCATCATCCGCCGCGGGAGCTGTCGGAACTGCTACTGTGCTCGTCGTCGTCGTCGCCACCGCCGCCGCCGCCGCAAGCCTCTACATCATCCAATGCGGCCCAGCAGCAGCAGTTCGTGTCGCTGTGTGGCGGCGAGGTTGGGAGGGTCAAGGGCGAGCTGGGACGTCAGGTGGAGCTCAACCTCAAGCTCAAGCAGCAGGTGGCCAAGCTGTGCTTGCAGGCGGAGCGAGCCGAGGGGATGGTGGCGGTGGAGAGGCTGGAGGTGGACAAGCTGCGGCAGCAGGTCCAAGGCATCAGCGATCGGCTCAAGCACGAGGCGCGCTGCCTCCACGAGTCGCACACGGCGGCACTGCGTGCTCGGGACGCGACCATCGAGCAGCTGCGCAGGCAAGTGGAGAGGGACGAGACGCGGAAGCTGCTCAAGGCGGCGCTGGACAAGAACGAGGAGCTAAGCGTGGAGAGGGAGGCGCTGGTGGCCAAGCTCGGGGACCAGGACTTGGATCTGCTCAAGCTCCGCAACGAGAATGTGTGCTTGGTGGTGGAGAAGATTGCGTTTGAAGGGTCGGCGCGAGCGCTGCAGGACAAGATGGCCAACCTCATGACCAAGCTGGCGCAGACCAAGCAGCACTGGAAGCGCTTTGTTGTCTACTGCCAAACATTTTAAACCATCTGTATGTTCTATGATCTTAACTAGGCTTGGTAGGGTTCATATCTATAGAGAGGAGAGAGCGAGGGATGTTCAAGAAGGCGAGCGAGGTCAAGGCGCAGCAGCGCCTCTCTGGCGCCGATCGCAAGAAGCTGCGTCGCAGCATTTGCGAGCGATTCGGCCACGCCACTGACGCGCACATCGAAGCCATCCTGCCGGCCAAGGTAAGCCTCTCCTGCATCCATCTCCTCCGACGGCTACTCAATGCAAATCGCTACGCCAGGCCGATGTCACCGTGGCGAAGCTCGCCAATCCCAATCGCCTCCATGTCTACGTCGTGGATGGAGGGCCGCCAATGCTGTTCGATGTCGATGGTGAAGTCTTTCCAACAGGTTGAGCTTCCTCGATTGATGTGCCAATTCAGACATGCTTCCTCTTGCAGTGTATGCCCTGTGGAAGCTACCATCGCTCCTCCCAGCTTTTATTCTCAAGGGTGCTGAAGTCTCGCGCTACGTTGTTGGTGGTGCCGATCTTATGTTTCCTGGCATCACTATACCCCCGGAAGGCTTGCCAGAGTTTGAGGCAGGCCAGCCGTGGGTTGTAAAGGTGCCGGGAAATGACTGGCCCATTGCTGTAAGTCTTGTTCTTCCTTTATTTTCAGTCCATCCAACGATTTTCACTCGTCTGCAGGTTGGAACGACGGCCATGAGTAGTACCGCGGCTAAGAAAGCTGGCTATCGCGGCAAGGCCCTTCGCATTTTGCATTTCTACCCTGATACGCTCTGGTAAGTAAAGCTTTTAGAGTTTGAAGTTTTGTCGCTGAAAAGGTATTTGGTGCTGCCGATTGTGTTTCAAACAGGAGCTCGGCTGAGGGAAGATACGTTCCCAATGCGGGTTTCTCGGAGGGCATGATTTCGGAAGATCCATCCACCAGCCAGCAGGGGGGCGATGGTGAAGGCGGTGCTCAAGGTGTAGACGAACAAGACCAAGAACACGAGCAAGAACAAGAACAAGGTGTTGCCAATAGTGGTGACGATGGGACCGAAATCTATCAAGTAACGGGGCCAGAATATGTGGCTGTGGATGTCAAGGACTTGAAGCTAGCACCGGATACATCGGCTGCCGAAGAAGCTGACGAGGAGTGTAGCAGCATTGAGGTTGGAACTTCAACGGGTATAAGCACCGAGGAGATGGACTTGCTACTCGACAGGTGCTTACTGCAGGCCCTGCATACGACCGTCAAGGACAAGGATCTACCCATTCCTGCAAGCATTCTTTGGTAAGCATTTTATCCTCTCTGTTTTAGCTAATGCTTGTGCTGCATGTAGGTCAGGGCACATTCTTCCTGCCAGGCCTGCAGGTAGCACGGTAGACATCAAGAAATCTTCGCACAAGAAGTTGTCAAAATGGCTTCAAACCAAATCTGCCAGCGGCTTGGTCGGTATATGATAGCTTCGTGTGTTTCCAGGCATGCTGACTGATTTCTTGCAGATAGTAGCGAAGGAGAGCAAGCCTCGTAAGGAAATCTTGTTGTGCAGCGTAAACAGAAGCCATGCGCTATACCAGGAGTTCAAGCCCGAGAAGAAGGTGGCTACCTCTGAACATACCACACCAGATTCGAAGAGCGCAAACGAGAGCGTGCAAAGTCCGTTTGAAGCCGTGGAGGTGTGGAAGCCTACTCACCATGTGGCACCCATATTGAATGCTGTGGGAGCCGATGCAGCCAAGTTTTACACCGCGGCCGAGGCAAGTGAGGTGGTGTTTTCGTACGTGGACAAGGAAAGCTTGGTGAAACCAGACAACAAGGCGGTGGTGGCACTGGATGCCGTCTTATGCGACGCTTTGTTCAAAGGAGCTGTGAAGAAGGGCTCGTCGTACCCGTCGGAGGTCTTGAAAAGGGACCTCGGTGCCACATTCCTGGGCCGGATGCAAGCACATCACAAGGTGACCAGAGAAGGCAAGTCCGTGGTTCGAAAGGGAGCACTGAGATGTGCACAGATAATAACGGAGCGGAGGCAAGGAAACAAGAAAGTGACTCGGGTGTCGGGCCTCGAATCGTTTTTGGTGGATCCAGATGCGCTAGCAGCGGAGCTCCAGAAAAAGTTTGCGTGCAGCACATCGTTGGCCGAAGTCCCTGGTAAGTTTGTCCGCTTTGTATTTAGGTACTTGTTTGCCTCGCCGCCCAACTCCGGTTGTTTGGGATGTATGCAGGGAAGAAAGGCGAGAAGGAGATACTCGTTCAGGGTGGCGTCATAGAAAACCTTGGGAAGCATCTAGTGCAACAGTATGGGATTCCAAAGAAGTTTATTGAGATACTGGATAAGACGAAGAAGTGATCAACTGGTTTGGGTGTCGTCGCCTTCCTGTGGGGTGGTTTTGGCGTGGAGGAGTTGACAGACTGCTCGCTCGAGTCGATGCTTATCTCGGGTGGCGAACTTGTCGACTAGGCAACCGTCCTGCTCGCGCGAGAGATTAGAAGCGAGAGATACAAGAGCCCCCCTCCCTTACCTGAAAGATTGCAAACAAGGGAACGGAGGAAACGGAGTAGAATTCGGCCAGGTCCTGCAGAGGTTGCGAGCAAACGAGGTGAAATCACTCTTTCCCAGCTAGCCTACCGTGAGTTCGTCGTAATCATCCAGAACGTTGTGCTTGACAAACACAATCTGCCTCTCATCGCTGTGCTCATCGTCATCCTCGGGATCTGCTACGCACTCGTCACTGCTGCAACCCTGCCTGTCTAGACACAGCTTGTTTCTTCGCAATAGCGGTGGTAGTCACTCACCCGTTTGCACAGCTTCACGAATTGGGGTAGCATGTACTTGCAAGCACCGCACGAGGTGTTGTAGAAATCCACCACCACCTAATGGAGAGAGGATTGACAAGCGCTCCAAGGAAGGCATGGACTGCGAACCAGATCGTGCTCCTCTCGGGCGCGCTCCAAAATGGCATCGAATTCCTGCAGGTTGCTTACTACGGTGACGCAGTCCACGGGGCACGAGATCTCCGCCTCAGCTCGTCGTGCATCCGCTTCCTGGCTGCTTGTTTATACTTTTGTGATCGATCACACGCACGCACACGCACTCACCTCCTGGCGCTTGAGAGATTCCTCTAGATGCCGCTTTCGATCCACCTGGATCCCGGCACACGCGACATTCCGGTGCGGCGTCCCTGGAATTCCCGCAGTCTGGAACCACGACCTCTTGCCCTCCACAAAGCGGCTGCTACCAACGATGCTAAACGCCGCCAAATCACGCCCGATAGCGGCCATGGAGATTCATGAGCTTATGAATGCTCGAGTCGCAACACGGGCTCTTGTCGCGATTCACGAGATATTTCTCTCGCTAATTGGTTTCAAATGATAGCATGGTGGCGTAGTGGATTAGTGTTTCGAGATCAACTAAAGAAACAAGCCTAGAATGCCAATTGTTCACAGTAACCAGCACCGAGAGAACAGAAAAACCACCGAGCCTAAGCTTCTAGCCCAATTATCCCTGCATCACAAGAGCCTAGTCTTTACCATGCCAGCTTTTTCCATAAGATATAAGCGCTTACCACAAGCAACTCTTGCACCCGCATTACCAGTTTCCTTGCTCAGCTCGTGACCACCTGCAAGACACAGTTGCACAAACAACAGGCACTCGAAGATCGTATATATATCTATACCTTTGCCGAGATCATCCGGGTCGGCATGCACCACAATTGCCCTGCCAATGATGGAATGCGGCCCGCACAGCTTTATCTGCATCATCATCCAAGTTAATACCATGGCATGGGATGATCCTCTTTGCTACGACTACCTGGCTGTCTTTGATAGAAATCTCCACCTTTCCTGGCGTAGCAAGCAAACCCAAAAGTGTGAGAGCTTGGGTCGATCGGGCATCCATCCATCCATCCATGAGCAAAGGCAAGCAAGCTACTCACCGCTGTCGCCTGCAGTGAGGTTGCCAAGGTCACCAACATGCCTGGTGTCGTCCTCGGGAGCACCGTGTTCCTTGTTGGTGGGATTGAAATGTGGACCTGTAAGCAACATACATGCTCGCTCGGGATCGCTCAAACAGAACGGCTCTACCCGTGGAGTTGCACCCGTTGGTGGTATCACCCAGCGCGTGGACGTGGAATCCATGCTTGCCCGGGCTCAAACCGGTGACCTCGCCCGTGATAGTGGACGGCGCACCTGGAGAAGCAGTCACTCACTCCATCACATTTGTGGAATGGGCTTTTCTTTACCTTCGTTCTCCTGGCTGAAATGCACCACCCCGCCCACCTCGCTACCCAACAGGACCGCCACTGCCTTCATCTTCTTTTCTCTCGCACCAAGAAAATACAAGGCAGCGAACTGCAAGAAAAACCAGATTTAATAAAGCAACACTTGAAGCCATGCAGGGCGCCACGTACATCGGTGCTGCAACAAAAGCAGAAAAAATGAAAACGAAAAATAAATTATGGATGTGCAATGGTGCATTGCAGCCGAAGCTCCTGGAGCTGCCTGGGATCAACTGTAGATGGTGTTCTTGTGAGGGAGCAGTGAGCAGCCGTCGTCTTTGGAAAGGCAATCACATCCCTTATCGATTTCTCTCCCGCAAGCAGCATTACCAGCCGGTCCACACCATACGCGATTCCTCCTGCCATTCATTCTCGTCACTTATTTAGAACAGCAAGATCAACGATACCATGCGGAGGAGCACCCAGCTCTAATGCTTCCAGCAAATAGCCAAACTTATCTTCCGCCTGGACACGACTTCAGATGGAGTCACTAACTACAAACAGAAAAGATTTCTAGAACCTCTTGAGCGCTCAAACCGGATGCCTCGAGCACCTTTTGCTGCACGTCACGCCTGTGAATCCTCAAGCTTCCACCCCCAATCTGCAGCCAGCATTTCAGTAAGCCGACAGCAGGATATCACTTACTTCCACGCCGTTGTAGACCATGTCGTAAGCAAGAGCACGAGCAGAGCTGAGATCCTTCATGTCTTCTGGCCTCGGAGCGGTGAATGGATGGTGGAGCGCCTGGCGGAAGGACGTACGTAAACTAGCTAGTGAGCATCAGCTTACCTCAAGTCGCTTTTCCGTATCGTTCCACTCGAACATAGGAAAATCAGTGATCCAAAGAATGTCATTGCGGCTCTGCAACCACGAGTTCAGTCGCGATCAAATCGGGAATGCGTCACACCTTGTCGATGAGGTTGTCACTTGTCTCGGCAATAAGCGTTCGCAGTCGGCCGAGCGTCGCGTTGACGAGCGATGTAGGCCCGTTTGCAAAGATAATCACATCCCCAGGCTTTGCGTCACATTTGGCCAGAAAGTTGTCTCTCGTCTCAGGACAAGACAAGCTCGACTTGAGCGCTGTGCTGCCTTCCACCTCTCCTGCACAGAAAGCCAGCTTTTTCGTACATGGATGAATGGAATAGAGAGATACCTCCTTCGGCCACCTTGAGAAAAGGCAGGCCTTTAGCACCGCATCTGACTGCTTCTTGATATATGTCCCCCTTCTTCAACCGGGTGGCTGTGATCGACTTGCCGCCGCCACACACTGTTATTGCCTTGACAACACCGCCTTCGCTGATGGCTGTGGCAAACGGAGCAAAGCTCGATTTTTCAAACACATCCGACAGCTGTTGTTTCCTTTAAGACGCGTATTAAAGCTTCCAAGTTTGACGTACCTCGACGAGTTGCATTCCGAAGCGTGTATCAGGCTTGTCTGAACCATACTTGGACATGGCCTCGGCATACGTGAGCCGTGGAAAGGGATCCGGAAGTTCTACGCCTTTAATCTCCCGGAAAACCTGGCATCCGAGCGAGTGAGGCGAGCACTTAACCGATGGTAGCACTTACAAGCCTGATGAGGTCCTCATTGAGCTCGAGCATATCTTCCAGCGGTGTGAATGCAAGCTCCATGTCGAGCTGCGTGAACTCGGGTTGACGGTCGGCTCTAAGATCCTCGTCCCTGAAACACCTGTTGGAAATGCACGCAAGTGAGTGAGCCACGCACACGTATATGATACCTTGCAAACTGAAAGTATCTATCGAAACCAGACACCATGAGCATCTGCTTGAACAGCTGCGGGCTCTGCGGAAGAGCGTAGAAAGTGGCTGGCTGCATCATATTTTTTTTCCTCCCAAGTTAGTCACGCAGGCTGCAATCACTGATTCACCTGCACTCGCGATGGCACCAGGTAATCTCGCGCTCCTTCGGGAGTGGATCTCGACAGTATCGGTGTCTCCACCTGCATTGCAAGCTCTAGCCGTCCATCAAAATCGCAAGCTCAAGCCAACCTCGACAAAGCCGTGGACGTCTTCCAAGTAACGTCTCATGAGCTTAACGATGCGGTGGCGGAGCCTGAGGTTGGCATTCAGCTGGGGGCGCCGCAAGTCCAGGTGTCGGTATCTACAAACGCAAACATGCGTGCCTTGGAAGCACTGGCTGGCCCAACAAGCAGTTTACCTCAGACGAACTTCCTCGGAGATGACGTTTTTGGACTGGTCGAGGGGCGTGACCAAGAAAGGAAGGTTCAAGCTGACGGGGTTGAGCACCTCAACCTTGTCCGCGATGATCTGAGGCAAAGCACGATCAAAACCATATGCGAAGGAGGACAAGAGAATACTTCGACGCTTCCAGTCTTCAAATTTGTGTTGGCGGCACCCTGAGGCCGCGAGCGCACTGTTCCCTCCACCGCTACCACGTACTCTATTCTCAGCCTTTCCGCCACCGCCTGTGCTCCGCTACTAGCCTCCGCCGCCGCAACCTGGCATGAAGCTTACGTATAAGAAATGGAAAGATGACAATGCAGCTGCTCGCCTGCACCATTCCCGTGTGGTCGCGAACGTTGATGAATGTGACGGCGCCATGGTCGCGACGGAGCGCAACCCAGCCACAAATGCGCACCCTCAGCCCAATCTCCGCCTCACTCACCTCGCCACAGTAGTGGCTCCGCCGCACCCACTTGAGCTGCTCGCCTTGCTGCTCCTCCACCCCGGCAACACCAACACCAGCAGCAGCAGCAGCAGCACGGGCACCAACACGACGCGAGGATGGGCGCGCTCGGCGAGGAGGGCATTGGACGCATCTCTGCAGCCATGCCGAGGAGGAGGACGAGTGAGACGCTGGAATGGTTGTGCCTAACATACAGGCCATGGGTTTATAATAAAACGCAAGTGTTTGTGGCTTTTACACATTAGCAAGCGTGGCTATTGCGAGAGCGTAGATTCAAAGTGGCTTGTCAATCCCGTCATGCCCGGCAGCACCAGCATCCAAAACAGGGCCGTCAGTGATCCCACCAGGAAGACAAACAAGAGGTTTCCCCCATAGCGACCACCCTTGGCCTTGTCTTGTCGCTGCACCACGGCACCAGCAGCCTGCTTCCGCTTGGGCGAGATCATCTTGACAGTCACACGAACGTTCATTGTTGTGGCTGCCACTGTCGACGACGATCCCCTCACAAGCAGCTTCTCCTTGTCTGGGTGCTCTGCTGCCGAGGCCGGAAGAACCTGAACCGACCCAAGCAGACTCAAGATCTTCTTCAATGGACCCCTGTCTCCTCCTTCCTCGCTATCGTCACCATTAGCCAGGTAATAGTCGCCACCTCCTGGCAGGCAGGGGTCGTCCATGACCAGCAAACTGTGCTCGTCGGCTTCCCTCCAGTTGGACGTCAGATGCTGGCAGCACAGCCCATGTTAAAATGCGTCCCACTTGCCTAACATGCTCCTCACCTTTGACGGCGCGTCCACAATACAGTCACCCGCGCCTTGATCGTACTTGTCCTCGAGATTGGAGAAGTCACCAAGCTCGATAAAGTCGTCTTCAGCCAAAACCTTCATCAGATCTTCTGGCTGGTCAATCTGTTCCAGGATACCCTCGGGATCAGCAAAAGACAGCTCTCCAGGGTTCCTGTCTGGGTAATCCATCACCTGCAATCAATCAATCCACAAGTCAGCATGGCCCTGGCAAGCTTTCAGTCCGTCACCTGTGCCAGGTCAGGAACTGGCTCGTCCAAAAGCATGGCAAGGAAGGCATCGAGCTCATCGTTTCCGCCCGGTGCCTCTTCCTTTGCAACCTCTGTGTTGGTCGTAGTCTCCACGGACGCCACCTCCGTCTCCGCGGCAACCTCCACCTCGGCTGTTTCATTGTCGGCCGTCTCATTGTCTAGCGAGAAGAACGAATCCCCCTCCGGATAGCATGGGACGTTCTCCTCCTCCTTCTTGGCAGTCGACTTCCTAAACACCCGGCAAACAACGAATGCGTCCTGCGCATACTGGGAGGAGGGTGTCAGCTTTGAGAGACATAGGGTGTTTTTCTGTGGACTTACCGAGCACTTGCGATCATCCTCGTCCAGTCGGTACTCGTGCATAATCCAGTCCGTCCTCTGGCCGTGGGGCGCCCTGCCGGTGTAGAAAACCAGCGTCTTCTTCATACCGATGTCGCGAGATCCCGAGCGCACAGTTCGGTCCTTTCCAGTCGCCTTCCAGTAGCCAGCTTCGGTGGCCCGGTTAGTCCGCCAGCCATTGGGATACTTCCTGTCGCGAGGGCTAAAGAAGTACCACTCCACATCCGTCACATACGATTTCCCTGTGTGAGCACAGACGATGGGTGAGCGGAGCGGAAGGAAGGAGCTAAGCTCGACTATGCAGTACATACCAGGCAAGTCCCATGGCTCGCACTTGTAGAGATCCACCTCGGCAATTATGTTGGCCTGGATGCTGCGCCCCGACACCTTTCGCGCCAGATAGAAGCCCACAAGCTCCTGATCCGTGGGGCGGAATCTAAACCCTGGCGGCCACTGCTTACCGGGCGATGGGGAAGACGAGGATGCCATAATACGTATGGATGGTGGCGCCGCTGCACAGCGCGCACTCTACCCCGCTCTCTCCTCTCACATGGCCCAAAACCCCTGTTTTTGCTCTCCACGCGCTGCTCAGACCACTTCAATAAGACCTAAGTAGGACAGCCATAGATTTTATCATTTAAGTCCCCTACTTTTCACAAACGCGCTTAACGATGGTTCTCGCCCCAGAAAACCATGCACAAGCTCCGCTGCGTCCTTGCTCGCCCCTGGCACCAACACCTGGGGATCACAAACAACGTTACCACAATCCGCAACGCCTTTCCTCGTACCTTGTCCCGAAACTCCTTGCCTGCCGAAAAGTTGCTCACTTCACCAGCAAAGCCACTCTCAAACATGTCTTCGGAGAGAACCTGTGCAAGCATGTTAAACGCACAAGACGACCGACTGATTTTTCCCACTCCTTCACCTGATTCCACAAGTAGCTGTAGTAAGTGCCGTCATACCCGCCCATGAGATGTGTAAACGATGCGCTCAAGTCCGTCCCTTCCAGCATCGGGATCCCTTCCATTACCTGGACTCTCGTTCACGTGACAAAGAGAAACAAGACAGAGCTAGTGGCTAACCTGGGTGTGGAGCTGCTCGAGAACGGAAACAGTATCGAATTGGTCGCTTGAGTGCACGATCAAATCGAACAATGCTGCCGCGGGAAAAAAAAAAAAAACGAAAGCATCATCAAACAGACAGAAATGAGTAGCGAGTTATATGTACCTAGCAAGATCTGCCTTTTCGTCAGAAGCCCGGCATGGGTCTTCTTCTTTCGCACTAGTAACTCGCAAAAGCTGTCCGGGACAGGTTCTCTAGTGTCCTGCAGGAGTCTACGAATATCAATTAGCAAGCTTCATGAGCTCGACGAAAATCACCACCTTATAGAAGCCACTCATACGCTTCAATGACGACTTTTCAGAGCACCTGTGTCAACAGACGTGAGCAAACGAGACATCCATAGTCGGCCTACCACTTTTCGAGCATTTTGCTGGGAGCTTCCACGAAATCATCCTCGACCCGGAGACCGGAAAATCTGGCGAACGATGGACGGCTGCAAATGTGATGCATCTGCAATATAAACATGTTTAAGAAAGGGAGAGCGAAGGGAATAGCACAAGTACTTGCCACGTGACCGAATTCGTGAAAGAAAGTCTCCACTTCTGGATAACTCAGCAGGGCAGCATGTCCTCTCCTGAAGTTCGCAAGCATAGCCGCGACTGGCAGCTAGACAGTAGAACTGAGCTCATTCCCAAAATTCAATCTCTCCAGTCAATGCTCCTACCTGACCGCTGCGAGTAGAGGAGGGCTGAAGAGGACACACGCAGGCATGCGAGTACTTTCCATCCCTACAGCCGGAGGATGAGATAAGCAAACAAACTCTCATGATACATAGTAGAGCAGAATGGAAATACCTGTGATAAATATCGAGGTAGAAATAGCCAATTGTCTTCTTCGCATCTGTATCGCTAACGGCAAAGAGCCGCACATCTGGATCCCACGCTCCCCGCTCCTCCTTGATTTCTTCGAAAGTAAGACCTGAAAACTCAAATGACAAACACAACAAAAATTAACCAGAAAGATATACCAAACAGCTCCTGATATATTTGGAAGAGACCATTGGTAACAACCTCCACGGGAAAATATTCTCTGATCTTTTCCGTGATTGCTTGAAACTCGAGCTCTTCAACTCTATGCATATAGTATAGAAGATCTTCCATACCAAACTCCTCTCCCCCTTCCTCGGCTTTCTACAGTGATAAAACTTTAGAGACCGTTAAGAAAATGCATATGGCAGACCTTTAGAGCCCGAAGCTTGTTCAACTCTGCTGCTGCAACTGACGACATCTTTGCCGAAAGGCTGAGGAGGAAGTTCTTTACCTGAAGCGAAACCAGGTGAGCCATGAAGAAGGTATTATAGCTTCTAGTTTCCTACGTTGGTAAAACTCTTGGCCATACGGCTGGAGGTCACGTACTCCACATGATTAGGATAACCAAGCAGGCGAGCCAGCCGATGACGTAGCTTCACCTGGAAAGGTCCAGGCATAAGCGATCGTGAAGAATTCATGCACGAACCACGTTGTGGAAGATTGGAAGATTTTCTGCGATGCAACGTTTATCATATGCCACTGCCAATGCCTTGCGCGTGCTTCCTACCTAGGGATGAGAAGAACCGGTTTAGAGAGAAAGCATTACAGACATTCAGCCCAACCTTGCAATTCTGCATGACTGGGAAGTAGTAGCGAGCATCGAGGGGAAGCTTGAGCTTGCCATGCTTGCCCTTCTCCAAGTTCTAAAAGTGAAGGAAAAAGAGAAAACAGGACGCAAAAAGGTGTCATATCAAGGCGGCAACGGAGACGTGTCTACAAACCTTAACAAACGTTATCGGTAAACCCGCAAGCTCATCCTCGTTGAACAGTAGAACCTCATTGAGCTGCGCGAGGTTTTTCTGGAAGGTGATGCAGAGTTCCCCGATAGTTTTCTTGATCTTGTCGACTTCGGATCTCATTTCGGGAGCCAGGTGCAGCCCAAGCCTCTCGTAATCCCTGACCTGCATGGGCAGACTTCGGTGGGAGGGAGTAAGCAAGCTTTTGATGAGTACCAGATGGTTGACAAAACGCAGAGTTTCAGGCGGCAGGTCCTCTTTCTTCTCAGCATAGGCCTTGACAACGCGGTACACGTCCTCCCGAAGCCTGCTCATCGCGAAACAGCGTGAGCACAAGGAATGCATAGGTACGAGGCAACCTGCATTTGGCGTTGTATGCCTCAAACATCTTCTCGGCTTTGACGCTGGCATCACGGACGTCTCTCGCCGGATTCACCAGACTCGGGAAGACGCACGACTGAACAGCCATGAACTCGTCAGCTTCCAGCCTTTCCAGGGGCTCAATCACCGACTCGTAGGTCACCTGACTCCCAAGCAAGCAAACAAAAGCTTGTCACGCTTGCTTCTACAAGAATGAGGCTGGTTACCTGGTCCAAGGGCACAGCGGCGACGGCGTCGTGAACTCGGATGGAGTTTGCAATGACGTGATCCACCGCTCTTAGGATCTCCGCGGCGGAGAGGCTGGATCGGAACTTGATGTCCTTGCATCCTCCTCCTCCTCCTCCTCCTGCTGCTGCTGCTGCTCAGGTATTAGGGTTGCCGCCTTGCGCTCTGCTCACATTCAAGCAGATCCATCGCTTACCTCGATCCTTGCCTCCGCGCAGCAGCGTGAGCAGCACCCTGGCTGCGACCAGTGTGCCCAGCGCCGCCCCCGCGGCCACCGCGATCCTCCTCTGCCGGCTTCCACCCTGCGCCTGCTTGCCGGCCATCCTCCCTTCAGCTCGCCAGTAAGCTCGGGGAGGATCGACCCGCGGTTCGAAACGGGGGACCGCCAATTAGGTTATTAAGTAATGCGATGATGATAGGATGCGAATGAGTGAATGGCGATCGAGGGGAGCTCTTAGGGTTTTGGTATTGTGTACTTGAGGTGAATGGCCAGTGCGCTCCTCTCCCCTCTTGGCAGCAGGGCTCAGGTGCTCCTCCTCCTCCCCTCCTCCGCCACCTCCGCCACTTCCTCCGCCGCCTCCCTCCACACACGCGCGCACATATGCTGGCGGAGAGGCAGGCGATTGCTCCTGCCCCCGGCCGCCACGCTGCGCCGCCCGTTCGCCTTGAATCCCGACTCCACGCAGCAGAGCGAAACAGAGGAGGATGGTTCTCCGCGGCCGCCTCAATCAGAAGAAGACTGCAGCAATGGGGGCAGTGCCAGCAATGGGGCGAGCGTGGAGGCAGCAGTGGAGCAGCAGCAGCAGCAGCAGGAAGAGGAGCAGATGAAGGTACCGCCGGGGAGCATGCTTGAGCAGGTTTGGGCCAGGCTATATAACATACCTTTGATCCGATATCTCGTCTTGTGGCCTCCCTGGCAACACAAGAAGCGGCTCCACCATCTCCTGGCGGAGGCCGATGCTAATCCCAAGAATCCCTCCAAGCAGGCCGACCTCCTTGCGGAGCTCAACAAGCACAGGTAAGCTCCCACCCCCATCCATTCGTTTCTAGCCAGCCACTCAACCCGGCTGTTGCAGCCCACAGTCTGTGATCGAAAGGTTCGAGCGGAGGGAGCATGCGACCGGCGGGCAGGCTGTTGTGGAGTATCTCAAGGCGCTGGTTGCAACCAACGGCATCGCCGACTATCTTCCCGACAAGCGGACTGGCAGGTCATCAGGCCTTCCTGCTCTTGTAAGAACAGCTGCGTGTACAGATATGAGAAACCACCACCACCACCTTTCTCCTGTTGCATTACCGCTAACCATTCTTCCCGTTTGGGTGTTTGGGTGTTGCCAGTTTCAGGAGCTCAAGCTGCACGCCGCCGGTGATCTGGACGAACCCTTTGCTCCTCCAGGCATGACAGAGCAGCAGCCGCTTCACGTCGTTATGGTCTGCTACCTCCTTGTCACCATTTCTCTCGCTCACGCGTCTCCTTTCTGTCATAGGTAGAGCCCAGGAGCTCAAACAAATCAATGAGGCTGATTCAGGAGCTCATATCCGCCGTGCTATTTATGATTGTCTTTAGTGTTATATGGTAGGCACTGTCTGTGGTCGAAGCGACCGACTCTTTGGTGCTTACGGGCGTCGTGTCTTCAGGATTATGGGAACAGCTGCCCTGCGGAAGTACGTCAAAGGTCCAGCGGGTATGGGTCCTCCTTCAAACATTGGCTCCAACGGCATCTACTCGCCGAAGGAATTCAACAAAGAGACAATGCCGGAGAAGGTCTGTCCTCTGCTCTCGATCAAGCATCGGTACAAACTTTTCTTTAAACACCAGAATATGAAGACGTTCCAAGACGTTAAAGGCTGCGACGAGGCCAAAGCGGAACTGGAGGAAATAGTACAGTACTTGCGTAATCCTGCAAAGTTCACACGCCTAGGAGGAAAGCTACCAAAAGTAAGACTCTTAAGTTTCACAATTTCTTCCCTAAACTGTGTGCTCCAGGGCGTTCTACTTGTTGGTCCTCCTGGTACCGGGAAAACATTACTTGCAAAGGTTGGTAGATACATCTTTCGCTCTATGCTGACTTTCATCTGCTGCACCAGGCTATAGCCGGTGAAGCTGGTGTTCCATTCTTTTACCGTGCGGGATCCGAGTTCGAAGAGATGTAAGTAAAGTCAGTTTAGAAGATAGCTTCAGTTGCTTAAGTGTGGGGCTTAAATATGCAACTATCTCGGTTCCTTCAAGTGAGGAACAGGTTTGTTGGTGTAGGAGCTCGTCGAGTGCGCACGCTATTCCAGACTGCTAAGAAGAAGGTAAAAGCATCTAAACTTCATATAACGTTGGACTTACGACAGATGCTCAGGCCCCTTGCATCGTTTTCATCGACGAGATTGACGCCGTTGGAAGCAGTCGTAAAAACTGGGAAGGCCACACCAAGAAAACACTGAACCAACTTCTTGTGGAGATGGACGGATTCGAAGCAAACGAGGTCTGCATGTGTTGCCTGATGTCCTTTGCCATGCATTTACTTGCTTCATTTGATTGTGCAGGGGATCATTGTCTTGGCAGCTACTAATCTCCCGGAGAGTCTGGACCCTGCTTTGACCAGGCCCGGAAGATTTGATCGGCATGTTGGTTCATATTTCGTTTACTGCTTCGTTCTACGTTATTTAAGTGCCAACTTGTTTGCAGGTTGTGGTGCCAAACCCGGACGTAAGAGGACGCCAAGACATACTGGAGTTGTACCTGAAAGATAAGCCGCTCATGGACGATGTGGATGTAAAATGCATTGCTCGAGGGACACCTGGCTTCAGCGGCGCAGGTTGGTTCTGGATACGTTGCCAGCGGCGCTACTGACGACTCCCATTCGTGTGCCTGTGCTACACAGATCTTGCAAACCTGGTAAACATGGCTGCTGTGAAGGCTGCGCTGGATGGAACGGATAAAATCTCCAGCGATCAGCTGGAATTCGCCAAGGACAAGATTCTGATGGGAACCGAAAGGAAATCAATGGTTTTGTCCGAGGAATCGAAGAAGGTTTGCGCTTCTGTGGCATTCTATTGCTATGTGCCTGAATTGTTTTCTCTTCGTGCATGGCAGTTGACGGCGTACCATGAGAGTGGACATGCCGTTGTGGCATTTAATACTGCCGGCGCTAATCCCATCCACAAGGCGACAATTATGCCGCGTGGGAGCAGCCTCGGAATGGTAGCGCAGCTTCCGGAGAAGGATGAAACGTCCATCAGCAAGATCCAGATGATGGCACGACTGGACGTGTGTATGGGCGGGAGGGTGGCCGAGGAGCTCGTGTTTGGCCCTGACCAGATCACGAGCGGTGCACGTAGCGACCTTGAGCAGGCGACTGCCCTGGCGCGACATATGGTTGGGATACGTCTCTTCTTCATTCTCATGGGGTCTCTCACTCGTCTCGTGTTGCAGGTGTCCGAGTGCGGAATGAGCGATACGGTTGGCCCCATGTACGTGGACTCGAGGGCCCAACATCCAAGCCACGAGATACAGAAGAGCATCGACGCAGAGGTACGTGCTCCCGTTTGTGTGGCAAGCGAGAATGTTTTTGCTTACCAAGGAGAGGGTGTGTGCAGGTGGTGAGGCTGTTGAAGGAGGCGTATGAGCGTGCCAAGTGCTTGCTGAGAAAGGTAAACTATGAGAAAGGAGCTTAGATTGTTTGTCTCTGCTTGTCTCATGCTTCTCGTGGTGTGCGTGTGTGTGTGCGTGTGCAGCACGAAGACGATCTGCATGCACTGGCCAGGGCTTTGCTGGAGAACGAGACGCTGAATGCATCGCAGATCAAGGAGATTCTACACCACCATCTGCAGCCGCAAGTGGACGAGGATGTTGTGGTAGCAGCTCCAAACTAGATTGTCGTGCTCAAAGCCCCTTTACTTAATTTTTATGTAGAGTTTCTCCTCCCTAAAGCCCTAGGTAGTGGAGAGAAGCTATGTCTGGTGGCATAGCCAGGGGGCGCTTGGCGGAAGAACGGAAGGCGTGGCGCAAGAATCATCCACACGTAAGAAGATCGCATCCCTCTTCCCTGCTCATGAATTCCTCGCTGTCTGTGTGGCGTCTAGGGTTTTGTGGCCAGGCCCGAGACCCAGCCCGATGGATCGGTCAACCTAATGACATGGCATTGCACTCTACCGGGCAAGGCCGGAGTAAGTAGGCAAGCCCTGGAACTGGAGCACTACTAATATGGCTTGTGCTTGGCGCAGACGGACTGGGAGGGCGGCTATTTCCCGCTGGCGATCCACTTCAGTGAAGATTACCCCAGCAAGCCTCCCAAGTGCAAGTTCCCTCCAAACTTCTTCCACCCCAATGTCTACCCCTCGGGAACAGTGTGCCTCTCCATCCTCAACGAGGACTCTGTAAGTTGATTCCCTCTGGGAGCCACTCTCACGCTCGTCTCTCGTCTCTCGTCTCTCGTCTCTCTCGTTCCAGGGCTGGCGACCCGCCATCACGGTGAAGCAAATCCTCATCGGAATCCAGGAGCTGCTGGATGCCCCCAATGCCGCGGATCCCGCGCAGTCTGATGCCTATCAGATGTTCATCCAGGTTTTGAGGGTGCTCCCCTGGTTTTGATAAAAAGCGCTCTTTCTTGTGTGGCGTGCAGGATAGAGACGAGTACAAGCGAAGGGTACGACAGCAGGCCAAGCTGTATCCCCCGCCCGTCTGATTGCTTTCACCCCTCATGGCCTGGTAAAAGAGGAAACGTAGTGGAAGGAATATTCTTCGAGAGAAATGTGGTATGGGTTGGTTATTATACGCAATGATATGCCGTGGATATTCCGCAAGGTTGTGCCGTGTGGATTGGGCAAGAGCGGGCGGCCGCCCGGCCGGCCTGGGTTTTTTGAGGTTTTGAGCGGGAGAGCCTCTTTCTTGTTTACCTCGCTCGAGTTGGAGATGGAGATGGGAGGATTACTCTAAAGCACACACGGTTTATTAAGGCAGGCGCTAAGTTAAAGTGAGGGCTGCCTGCCCTGCTGGTGGTGCTGTCAGGTTATGCTTTTCTTTTGGCTTTGTTTCGTTTTAGTGCTTGCGGAGCTCTCCTTAGCCTCGTAGCCCCTGCCTAGACACACACAGCAGCAAGCAATCGAGCAGCAAGCAATCGAGGGGGCGGAGGTAAGTGTGTGGCCAAGAAACAAACCAGGCAGCAATCCAATCCAATCCGGCCGTAAAAAAGGAGGAGTGTTTTTAAGTAGGGCAACAAGGCCCTGGGAGAGGGGAACAGTAGGGGCGCGTAGATCCTGCGGGCTAGGGGGGACAAATGTGGCTGGCTGCTGGGCGCGAGCAAGCAATGTGGGATTTGGGAGGTGGAGGAGGCAGTAGCAGGAGCAGCGGCGGCGGCAGCTGGTGAGCTAGGAGGCCTCTGGACGCGCGAAAGGAAGGGAGACAAGCGAAACAAAGAGCGGTGGGATCACAGCGCGGCGGCAATGGCGGAGTCAATTAGTAGCCTAGACGAGGACGACGGCTTCTTCGACGGATCTTGCAGGGAGAGTGTGGCGTCGGCCATGGGGTTTTGCAAGCAGGACGGGAAATCTTCCAGGCGGAAGACCGCCGTTCGCCCCAGCTTAGAAACGGAAGACATCATACACTTGCTCCACGGCTCAGATCCAATCAAAGTGGAGCTCAACCGGCTCGAGAATGAAGTGCGAGGTAAGCAGCGCTCGGATCTACGCCAATGTACATGTTTCTAAACCCGGCGCCACCGCTTTTGCTTGTCTTGTGCCAGACAAAGATCGAGAGCTGTGCGAGGCGCACGCAGAGATCAAGGCCCTGCGCCAGACGGAGCGGCTCAAGGAGAAGGCCGTCGAAGAGGTAGCTCGTCGCTGATTGATCGCCACCATCACCAACATTTCCTTTTGCAGCTATTTGACGAGCGTGAGAAGTTGCAAGAAAAGCTCAAGGCCATGGAAATTGCTCTGGAAAACAAGGTGCCGTTGCTTTTTCCGCTCTTTCTTGTTCATGACACTTTCCTTTCCCTCGCAGAACCTGGATCTCAAGAGGACCAACGATGAGAGGAAGTCGGCGCTAGCAGCCCAAGCTGCAGCAGAGGCGACACTACGGCGGCTGCATGCCTCCCAAAAGGACGAAGATTTACTGCCCCTGGAAGCCATCTTGGCACCCGTAGAAGCAGAGCTCAAGAGCACCCGCAACGATGTACGTCTTCTCCTTGTTGCCCCACCCGGTTTCTCACGCTTTGCAAAATTCCCTGCAGTTTCTCAAGCTGCAAGACGATAACAAGGCCCTCGACCGGTTGACAAAGTCCAAGGAGGCTGCTCTTCTCGAGGCTGAAAGAGCAGTTCAGATTGCGGAAGCCAAAGCCTCGCTCGTGGATGACTTGCAGAATCGGAATCAAGAACTTCTCAAACAGATTGAGATCTGCCAGGTACGTTTTGGCCCCTCCTCGGGTACCATGGTGCCAAGCCAAGCCTTGTGTGTGCCTTGGTGCAGGAAGAGAACAAGATATTGGACAAGATGCACCGGCAGAAGGTGGCGGAGGTGGAGAAACTGAGCACTACCGTGGCAGAACTGGAGGAAGCACTTCTTGCGGGAGGAGCCGCAGCAAATGCTGCGCGTGACTTTGAGCGCCAAGTACATCACCTCATGGTAGTGCCGCCAGCCACCTTTGGGTCGCACTCACCCCACATTGTCTTTTTACCATTAGGAAGAGAAACGGACGCTTGAGCGGGAACTGGCGCGTGCCAAGGTAACAGCAAACAGAGTGGCAGTCGTCGTTGCAAACGAATGGAAGGATGCAAACGACAAGGTCATGCCCGTGAAACAATGGCTTGAAGAGAGGAGATTCATGCAGGTGCGTGCGTACGTTGTGTGTGCGTGTGTGTTTCTTCCATTCGGCCTAACTAAGTGCGTGTCCTTGTCAGGGAGAGATGCAGCAGCTCCGTGACAAGCTAGCAACTACGGAACGCACCGCAAGGAGTGAAGCCCAACTCAAGGTAGGCACGTACACACTTTGGCTGCCGAGATAGGTGCCCAATGGCTTGATTCATGTGGCAGGAGAAGCTCCAAGTCCGGCTCAAGGTTCTGGAAGAGGGGTTGAGAACATCCACCAACGGTTCCACTCGGAAGCACGACGATTTTTTGCGAAGCGGGACGAATGGTGCCAGTGTGCGTCGTCAATCAACAGGCGGGTCGGACATTGGTAATGGCGTGGCCAGGCGGCGGCCGTCAATGTCATCAGCGTCGCAGATGCGGGGCTCGGTGTCGGGCTCCACCATCCTCAAGAACGGCAAGTTTGGATCCAAGGCGTTTGACGGAAGCAAGTCGCTGGATGCGGGCCGGTTTAAAGCCTACGCTAACGGGTGCGAGGAGCCAAGAAAGGTGTCCTCGGCTGCGAGTGGGGCTGGCGGCGGCGGCGGCGGCGGTGGTGGTGGCGGCGACGTAAAGCCTGAGGCCGGCAAGGTGGAGGGAGCAACAGTCGCTGCAGCCGACGACAACGTGTCCGTCCTCTTCTATGATATGTTGCAAAAGGAGGTGGTGACACTGCGCAAGTTGGGCCACGAGAAAGACCAAAGCCTCAAGGACAAGGATGACGCAATCGAGGTATATGCGTGGGTTTGGCTCTAGGTGCTCATGACAGTCGGACTTTTGCATGCAGATGCTGTCCAAGAAGGTGGATACGCTGACCAAGGCAATGGAAGTAGAGGCGAAGAAGATGCGTAGGGAGGTAGCAGCAATGGAGAAGGAGGTGGCCGCGATGAGAGTAGACAAGGAGCAGGAGAACAGAGCACGGCGTCTTAGCATTGCAAAGGGGAGTGTAAATAGTTCCCATGCGTCATCGAGGTGAGGCAAAGAAAGTTTCTCTTGTGGCGGCTGGCTGACACGGTTGATCGATTCCCACAGGGGAGGATTGATGAGAAGCCCATCAGACATCATGAGGTGAATTGAGACACGGCAATGCGGCGAGCGAGGCGACTAACATACACACGACGACGAAGATTTAGTCTCTCTTTTTATATTTCCTGTGTGTTGTGGGTTTTACTATGCTGTAAAATTGAACACGTTCATGTTCGTTGTTGTTTGGCGACGAGCCGAGCACAAGGGTATATGCTGTCGAGTTTCTTACCTAGAGTTTGCGACTGTGTGTAGAGCACAGCGATGCAGGCCGCAATTCCGGGCTGCTCCAAGGCGGCAAGGAAGGAGCCATAGGTAAGGGCGCAGAGAGCAGAGAGCACAGATCTGGATCTGGCTCGCGGAGATCTATCCGATATGGCAACGGGCGGCGGTGGCGAGCGGATGCGGTGGAGCAAGCTCTACTCGCTGTCGTGCCTGCGGCCGGCTGTGGCGGAGGAGGAGGAGGCGCGGAGGAGGAGGCAAAGCAGCAACTTGAGCGGTGGCGGGCGGCTCGTGTGGTGCAACCAGCCCGACAAGCACCGGGTGAAGCCGCACAAGTATCGCTCCAATTACGTGTCCACCACCAAGTACACGCTGCTCACCTTCCTCCCAAAGGCATTGTTCGAGCAGTTCCGGCGGGTGGCCAACCTCTACTTCCTCTTCGCCGCCGCGCTCTCCCTCACGCCGCTGGCTCCCTTCGCCGCCTCCAGCCTCATCGCGCCCCTCGTCTTCGTGGTGGGCGTGAGCATGCTCAAGGAAGGCGTCGAGGACTGGCGCCGCTTCATGCAGGTGCGTGCGTGTGTGCGTGTGTGTGCGTGGGGCTTTCCGTGGCTCACTCTCCCCTGTAGGACGAGGAGGTGAACAAGCGCAAGGTGGCGGTGCACGTCGGGCACGGCGTGTTTGCGGACAAGCAGTGGAAGAGGGTGTGCGTGGGAGAGGTGGTCAAGGTGACGCAGGACAGCTTCTTCCCGGCGGACCTGCTGCTGCTGTCGAGCAGCTTCCCCGACGGCATCTGCTACGTGGAGACGAGCAACCTCGACGGCGAGACCAACCTCAAGGTGAAGCGCTGCGTGGAGCGCACGCTGGAGCTGTCCGAGGAGTCCGACTTCGCCACCTGGTCCGCCCAGGTGCACTGCGAGGCGCCCAACCCCCACCTCTACACCTTCGTCGGCAACCTCGACTTGGACGGCAGCGTGGTGCCGCTGGGCCCTGAGCAGCTGCTCCTCCGCGACTCCAAGCTCCGCAACACGCACTTCGTCTACGGGGTGGTGCTGGCCAGCGGCCACGACACCAAGGTGATGCAGAACGCCCGGGAGGCGCCCTCCAAGCGCAGCCGCATCGAGCGCAAGATGGACAAGATCATCTACTTCCTCTTCAGCGTCCTGCTGCTCATCTCGCTGCTCGGCTCCATCGTCTTCGGGGTCATGACGCAGGCCGACATGCCCCGCTGGTGGTACCTCCGCCCCTCCGACGCCGACGTCTACTTCAACCCGCAGCGCGCGCAGCTGGCGGCGCTGCTGCACCTCATCACGGCGCTCATCCTGTATGGCTATCTCATCCCAATCTCCCTTTACGTGTCCATTGAGGTTGTCAAGGTGCTGCAGGCAATGTTCATCAACCACGATATTGCCATGTATGACGACGTGACCGACACCCCCGCCCACGCTCGCACCTCCAACCTCAACGAGGAGCTGGGCCAGGTGGACACCATCCTCTCGGATAAGACGGGCACGCTCACCTGCAACGTCATGGAGTTTCGAAAGTGCTCCATCGCCGGCGTCTCCTACGGCCGGGGGATCACCGAAGTGGAGAGGGCCACCGCCAAGAGGCTCGGCAGGGAGCAGCAGCTGCACGAGGATGCAGGGTCGGAGGAGCACGACCACCGCAGCAGCAGCAGCCACGGCACCAGCCCCGGGAACTTCGAGATGGCCCATGCTGCACCCTTCGTCAAAGGCTTCAACTTCACCGATGAGCGGGTCATGGATGGCAACTGGCTGCACCAGCCGCACTCGTCCGTCATTCGAACCTTCTTCCGAATCCTGGCAGTCTGCCACACTGTCATCCCCGAGGAGAGCCACGAAACGGGCGACGTGAGCTACCAGGCGGAATCGCCGGACGAGCTGGCGTTTGTTGTTGCTGCAAGGGAGTTTGGCTTCCAGTTTTACAAGCGCACGCAGTCGACCGTGCTCGTGCGGGAGCCCAGCGATACCAATGGTACCACCACCCTCCGGTAAGAGACGTGACTTGCTTTCTTTCTTACGTGCGCGGCATTTCAGCGAATACAAGCTGCTCAACCTGCTGGAATTCAACAGCACCCGCAAGCGGATGTCCGTCATTGTAACGGACGATGCAGGTAACACCTTCCTCTTCTCCAAAGGTGCAGACAGGTACTGTTTTGAGTGTAGCCTCTCTCTCTCTCTGTAGTCACCACCCTCCCTCTCCCATTGCAGCGTCATGTTCGACAAGCTCAGCAAGAACGGACGTCAGTTCGAAGCTGCGACAAGAAGCCATCTCTCCGAGTATGCCGAGGCCGGCCTGCGCACCTTGATCCTTGCGTACCGCAAGCTCGACGACGCAGAGTACAGGGAATGGAACGCGGTCTTCCTCAAGGCCAAAACCACCATTGGAGAAAGCCGAGAGGAGCGCTTAGATGCTGCATGCGACATGATAGAGAGGGACCTGGTCCTTGTGGGTGCCACTGCCGTGGAGGACAAGCTGCAGAAAGGGGTAAGCTTGGTTGGGGGCGCCACTCCTCTTCTCACGCACCGCTTATCCGTCCAGGTTCCTGAATGCATAGATCGGCTAGCCCAAGCTGGCTTGAAGATATGGGTGCTTACTGGCGACAAGCTAGAGACTGCCATCAACATTGGGTACGTTGGTCGCCCCCAACTCCTCTTTTAACCATACTCTCTTGCATGCCCGCAGCTTCGCATGCAGCCTGTTGCGGCAAGGGATGAAGCAGATTCTTGTGACGTTGGACAGTGGCTCCACTGAACAGTTTGGCAACAAAGAGGCCAGTGCCAAGGTGAAGAAAAACAGATGATTCACTTCCACTTTCCACTAACCACTGCTGCTGTAGGCATCCAAAGAGAGCATCAGCCAGCAGCTTGCGAATGCCCAGCGCCAGATTGATCTGGAGACTGACGACGACGCTGCGTTTGCGCTGATCATTGATGGTAAAGCACTTGCGTATGCATTGGAAGATGGCCTTAAAGACAAGCTGCTACGCCTGGCAATCAACTGTGCCTCTGTTATATGTTGCCGGGTTTCTCCCAAGCAGAAGGCGCTGGTACAGTGCTGACGCGCTCGCTCCCACCCTTGTGCTGGATTCTCATCCTTGATTTCATGCGCGTGGCAAAACAGGTGACGGGACTTGTGAAGGAGGGCACGGGACGGACAACTCTGAGCATTGGTGATGGAGCCAACGACGTGGGAATGATCCAAGAGGCTGATATAGGTGTTGGCATCAGTGGTCTCGAAGGCATGCAGGTAGGGTGATCCTGGATTTCTGGATGCTCCTTAACCGCAGTGGGTGTTTGCAGGCAGTCATGGCCAGCGACTTCTCTATCGCACAGTTCAGGTTCCTGGAGCGCTTGCTCATTGTACACGGGCATTGGTGTTACAAGCGTATCGCGCAGATGGTAAGCCTGGCTCCCGCCTCACTCATTGACCGATGCATCCCTACAGATTTGCTACTTTTTCTACAAGAACATCACGTTTGGCCTCACCCTGTTTTACTACGAGGCGTACACCAGCTTCTCGGGTCAGACTGCATACAACGATTGGTATATGTCCCTGTTCAATGTGTTTTTTACGTCGCTCCCGGTGATTGCGCTGGGGGTTTTTGAGCAAGACGTATCGGCCAGAGTGTGCCTGATGGTGAGTGAGTGAGCGAGCGAGCGAGTGTAACAAAGGACAGGGATTGATGGTGGCTTGGTGGTGTTCTGTGCTGTGCAGTTTCCGACGCTTTACCAGCAGGGCCCCAGGAACTTGTTCTTCAGCTGGTCCCGGATCCTGGGCTGGATGGCCAACGGCGTCTACAGCTCGCTTGTCACCTTCGTCTTTGCGGCAGGCCTGTACCGGGTGGCGGCGTTCCGGCGGGGTGGGGAGGTGGCGGAGCTGGCCATTCTGGGGGCCAGCATGTACACGTGTGTGGTGTGGACAGTCAACGCGCAGGTGGCGCTGGCCATCAGCTACTTCACCTGGATCCAGCACCTCGTCATCTGGGGGAGCATCGGCCTCTGGTACATCTTCTTGCTGCTCTACGGCGCTGTGGATCCGCGCCTCTCCACCACCGCCTACATGGTGCTGCGCGACGGCCTTGGCCCAGCCCCAGTCTACTGGCTGACAACCGCATTGATACCCCTCGCCTGCGTCCTCCCTTACTTCCTCTTCACCGCCTTCCAGCGCACCTTCAAGCCCATGGATCACCACATCATCCAGGAGATACGCCACCTGCAGCGGGACTTTACCGATCCAGGCATGTGGCTGCGGGAGCGGTCCAAGGCCGTGGAGAGGACCTCCATTGGGGTCAGTGCGCGGGTGGAGGCGCGGATCCGGCACATGAAGAAGAACAAGGGGCGCCACCACCTTTTCTCTCCCATCCGGGACACCACCACCGCCACCACACCATAGTGCTCACAGACGCGTACACCAACACAATCCAAATTTTGTTAGGACGACAACGACGCGAGGACCGACCCTGCCTGTACACACGCAGCCTAGTATACATACAGACGACGTTCCTAGATGGTATAACCGTTCTGGATGTCTTCGTTCCTTCATTCATTCATTCATTCATTCATTCATTTCATTCATGTCAGTCACCCCGTCACGTCAGAGAATGGTGCAGTCCCTCATCACCTTGTTGCTGCTACGGATTATGCGAGATTCGGGAAACCTTTGGTGTACATGCTTGTAGAAATCTTTCGGCTGCTGCCGCTGCGCATTGTGGCCGCTCAGCAGAACACCTGCTGCAGAAGTTGTTACCTACCATACGGATAGTCCCAACACACACGTATACCTGCTGGTGTGGTCGATGGCAATGGGGCATCGTCGTGCCGTTGCAGTATCATCTCTGCAAGGTACTCAAACACTGCCACATGCAATTCCAAGGGTTCTTGATCAGTAAAAGGAAGGAATGGCATACCATCCGCCACGTAGAGGTTTTGCTTGACACAAATCCGGTAGAAGCGGAGTCCCAGCTGCTCGGCCAAGGCTTCAGCTTCTTGCCTGCATTCTCAACCGGGAGTGTGAGAGGGTATTTGTATAGCTCATATGGAATATGGAAGGAAGCAACACCTGCTCACGACGGTCTGGTCCAAGAGATCAACCTTGTTCTGCACCAGTGCCATGGGAATCTTTCCACATTCTCTCTCCACCTGATGCATGAAACTGAGTGTAGGCCCGTAAATACCTCCGTGCTTGTGTACCTTCTTCTTCCATGTCTTAATGCATTCAAAGGATTGCCTGTCGTCCGTGGAGAAGCAAAGGACGGCAGCTCTGGCGCCTGCATGAGGAAGTTTGTAGGCCGCCAACAAAAGGGGGCAAACTATAACCTCACTTGACCTCGGTAGTATGCGCGAGTCATGGAATCGAATACCTCTTGCCCCGCCGTGTCCCACAGCATGAGCTTCACTTGTTCTTGCAAGGCCTTGACGAACCTAAGTTGCGTGCGTTAGCACATACACAAGACGACTCCTAGTCGATGGTTACTGGCTCTTCTCCAGGAAGTCGACGCCGATGGTCTTCTTGTACTCGATGGGGCAGTGCCCCCTACAAAACTGGCGGATCAAGCTCGTTTTTCCCACGCCGCCGTTGCCCACAACCACCACCTTCACCTCCCCTAGAAAGCTTACAAGAGTTAGTCGCACGGGCGAGACACCCAGGTACGCACTCTCGAAGTCCTCCTCTTGCATTGCGAACATGGTGGGCAGTTTGCTTGCTCTCCAAACGGGTGGTGCCACGTGGTTTTAGGGCTTGTCTGTTGTTTGCACGGAGGAGGGGATACATATCATCCTCCCGCGCTTTTTGCCGGCTGCGCACACCCCTGCCGCCAGCAAAAGAGATGGCGGAGGGCAGTGAGGAGGAGCAAGACAAGCTTGTGGTGAAGCTGAATGAGCATCCATCGCTGGTTGGGGCTCAGGAGGCCCTCAAGGCGGAGCTGTCCCGTAAGAAGGAGGATCTGCGCGATAGGGTCCGGGAGAAACAGGTGCTCCTCGCCAGCGCCACCAGGCGAAGAGAGGAAGTGGGCGTGCAGCTCTATGGCTTGCAGAAGACTCTGGCCAGCATCCACATTGCTGTGACCAAGACCGAGGACGTGCTTGCTTCCCGGGTGGAAGAGCAGGAAAAGGTTTTAAGCTAATCAGAGTTTGCACCACCCTTTGAATCATCCTTGTCCAGGCCAAGGCACAACTGCTGGATGCTCAAGTCTCATACAAGGACAGATGGAGCGAGATGAACGCCATGCAAGACAAGCTCGAGGCGTGCCACATCGACCTGGACAACCTGGCCTCGACGCTCAAGCAGGTGGACAGCTACAACGACAAGCTCAAGAGCGACATCGCCGTCAGCCGGCGGGCCACATACGCCATGGAGGAGATCATCTCCAAAGCCGAGAAAGGCAAAAAGGACCAAGACTTTTACATTGCCGTCCAGCAGGAGCGGTTGAGGCGCTACTACCAGAGGCAGGCCCTGTGCAGGGCCCAGTTCGAAGGTATGTCAACACTATAACCGACCTGCGCTACATGTTTTTTTGTGTGTGCGTGCGTGTGTGTGTGTGTGTGTGTGGCTTGAGTGTGTACAGCTCAGCAGCGAGAGACCAAGATGGCTGTGGCGGCGCTGTCGGAATTTGGAATTGAGATGGAGAGTATCAATACAGAGAAGAAACAGCTGACCGACCAGTGGAAGTCGGCACTGATTGTGTTGGGACGCTGCGACGAGGCCCTGCAGGTAACATGTTGAAATATGCTCTGCTGCTCCTGGCTTCATTCAGCCTGCTTTAGCTGCTTGGTCTAGCCAGGCCTTGGTGGATGCTGCAGGCAAGCAAAGAGAGCAAGACCTGTCCATACAGGGAGAGAAACACCGGTACCGCAAGGACATAAGGCTGGAGCGTGACAAGGGCGATACCAAGCTGGCGCTGCTCAAGAAGTATGGCTCGCAGATCAAGCATCTCAACAAGCGGATCACCAAAGTCGCTGCTAAGCGCAACACCGTGCTGCAAAAGTACGCAGCCATGATGCTGACAATGGAAGAGACGGAGAGGAACGAGGTCAAGGTGAAGGAGGAAAGGGATGTCCTCGAGCAAGACTACAAGGTAACAATAGGTGTCTTGTGAGCATTGCTGATGCATGCATGGCTTGGGCAGGTGATTGAAAAGGCTTACCTCAAGCAGTGCCAGACAATCAATGACCTCGAGACGAAGATGCTGGTGGGGCTCAGCGAGCAAATCACGCTCGAGAGGTCGGCCCAACAAGTCGTCCAAGGAACGCTGCAGCTCCGGCAGGAGATCAGGCACGAGCACATGATTGCGACGGAGATCGAGTACGAGCTCGCACGGATCCGGGTGGACACGTTGACCGTGCAAAGCTATAACCAAACCATTAGCGATGCGCTGGCCTCGCTAGACGAGGAGGTGCAGCAAAAGATGTCGCTCATCTCCAAGATGCAAGCCGAAACCCGGCAGCGGCACAGCGAGATCGATGTCAAGACCAAAGAGATTGACAAGCTTAACAAGCAGTACGACAAACTCACTGCCAACTTGGTGGACAAGAGCGCAACCCCCTTTGAAAACATTGTTGCAAATATCCGCTACGAGATTGCCGTCAAGATACGGGCCTCGTCCGAACTGCAAAAGCAGTGGCTGGGGATCCAAACGGAGCTTGTCAGCATCACCACCGAGAACCATGCCCTGGCGCAGAAAGGCCGGAAGCTGGACAAGGATCGCATTACCCTGGAGCAACGCAAGTTAAGGCTGGAAAAGGACCTAGGAACTCTCACAAAGTACATCAAGGATGTCGACAAGAATGTCCAGATGAAGCACGGCATTGTCACCAAGTATGTCGTCGCCACTCTCAAGGACCTCATATTACTCTACTCCACTTGTTTTCCTCAGGCTCAACGAGCTCTTAGCGAAAAACGCCAGCATGAAGGAAATGTTGACCAAGGAGAACCTCCTGCTCAAAAATAGCAACGATTTAGCCATCCAGGAGCTGCAGCAAGAGGCACTGAGGATTGAGTATCTGAGGGAAGATTGCAACTTGGAGAAATCGGACGTTAGTCGTGAGGTCACAGAGCTTCAAAACCATGTCATACTATGGAAGAGAAAGATCAACTTTGAGAAAGAAACCCAGGTAGGCTCGTGCCGGGCAGAATACATATAAAGTCTTGGTTGCTCCTCGCAGGCAGCCCTTCTCCAGGCCATGATGTCGCCATCTGCTATCCTTGGAGCCATGAAGAAAGAGTACGAGCGCTTGAAGTGGGAGCTTAACGCCCTCAACATTGAGAAGGAGAAGCTAGTAGCCGAAGTTCAAACGCGGGTTCTCAACCGCAAGTCAATCGGCATCAAAGTGCAGGTGTCTTGCAACTCGAATCCATGGCTACACACACACGCGCGCTTGCATGCATGTCGTGCAGGCCAGCAACAGCAGGAAGGAAACCGTACACGAGCCCGACGCTCCAGAGGCGCTTCTCACCAAAGCGTGCATGGAATTGAAGAGAAACATACGGGAGGTTAACGCCGATGCGTCAGCTGTGGACGAGAAGGTGGTTCGGCTTCAGTCTCAGCTCCAAACACACGCTGACAAGCATGTGGAGATTGACAACGCCATAACAGCAATCCAGCAGGAGCAGGAGGCGCTCAGGTTTGCTCCTTTATAGTCATGTGCTTGTTATATGTGGATTTCTGTGTCCAGGTCGAGGCTGGTCGCTGCCCGGCCCGTCAAGTCCTTTAAGGTCTTGGCCACTGCTATACACCACCGCATGGTCAAGAGACACCAGGACCTTCAAGCAAACAAGTGGAAGGTCGCCATTAAAGTAGACCTTGACACGGATTGGGAAGAAGCTCGTAAGAAAGCAGGGATACTGACCGAAGTCCTGCTTTCTTTCCAGGACGACCTACCGATGCTCTGGTCCAAGTTCGACATAATGTTGGTACAATTACGCTTGGCCCTCGAGATATAATCACAGTCTCTTCATAAACTGATCGTACGCTGTGAACATGACCATACACGAGGTTCCCACCCACAGTATCCTTGAGCTCATGCCACTTGTAAAACCTTTGATTCCTTCTTTCTTCCAGATCTTTTGAGCCGCATCCAGCGTGCCCTTGTACTGCTTGCTTTTGCCTTGCACTTGTAATCTAGTCTTTACCACATCCTGTGGGAAATTCCAAACCTTGAGGAGAATGAATTGGAAGGAGAGCTGCCAACCATTGGATTTGTGCATGCACTAGCAACGGACGCACTAAGAAAGGAGCTGGAGAGCTCCCAGTGCATGCCGAGTTGCTCCTTCGACTCCACTCCCGTGTATCGGACCGCAAGCATCTTTGTTCTCTCCCATAGCGGTAAATAGATGGCGTTGTAAGGACCCCATACCATCTGGGCCAGCAGGAAACCCCTGTACAATGCTCCTAATCCCTCCTGTGCATATATCGTCCGCGCTGCATCTAAAGAACCCTGACACAACCAAAAGTTCGACAACCGATGCAGCACATTCGAACCTTGTAAGCTGGTTGTCCAGCCGTATGAACCATTTGTCGCTGCCGAACAACCTCAAGGGGGACGCTTACTAGCGATTGCACCAGTGTGGCAAAGAGGCCTCCACAAAAGTGCACAACAGGATTTTCTTGACCCCCTGCGGAGCACAGCTTAGATGTCGCACAAGAGAGGACAAAGAAAAGAGACCTGGCACGATTGCCTTGATAGTTTGGTACGTGGACATGTACAAAGCCTGTGATGGAGCAACTTGTACAACAGAAGCATATCCTTTGTAAAGAGTTCTCCATCCCTCTTGTCTGGCAATAGTAGTCAACGCGTCAAATGGGCCATTGTATTTGTATAATCCCCCAACCTGAAAGGGTTGTTGTCAGGAGGAAATAGCAAAAGAAGGAGATTGTGCCAAAGGGATCACCATCAGTCGAGATTTAACAGTCATCAACGGGTAAACCAGACTGTCTGCCAGCATTCCAGCGCAAGCTGCTGCTGTCATCTGCTTTAAAACGTCGCTTCGAAAGTCGTTCCCATTTCCCATTGAGTATCTTACAATTTAAGAAAGAATTCGCACGGATTGTGCTTGCTAGACAAAAGGGGCTAGGGTTCCGTTCAACCGTCTTTTCAAGCAGAAAAACCACGATAAGCGAAAAATTTTCTTTCTTCCTTCTGCCCAATTCGTCTAAATGCTTGGGTACGGCAAGCAGAATTTACCTTTCTCTTTAAAATTCTTAATCTCTTCATAGCCCTTCAAACTCTATCGTCAACCTGGCTGAGTAGCTCCTGTGTTTCTGACCCGACTTGTCATGAAATGGACTTGCATTTGGAATCCCGATTCTTGAGCTTTCTTGAGCTCCTGTCTGAGCATTCTCTTTGCAGACAGCTTTGGAGTGTGCGGCATAATTGTTTATCCAGTTGATGGATGGAGCTACTTCATCCTATCGTAGACCCCGACAAGCCCCGTCCCACTTGTGTCACAGCCAGGAGCTGCAAGAAAACTCTGGCATGAACTTTTGTTAGATTGTGCCTTCTCTGAGTTTCTATAAAATAAAATTATGTGAAACCTTCATGAAGTGGCTAATGAGGAAATAGGGACTGCTCTCCAATTCTTGGTGTAGCTATTTAGAAGAATCCAACATTGCAAAAGCTTCATTGAACAAAGCTAAATTGACTTTATTCCCATCCTTTAAGGACATTCATAGATGCATTAGAAGCAAGACTGAAGCTGTGCATTGAGGCCAAATCCAGCTGAAGAGCTGACTACTACACAATGCTCAAGACCTGACAGACATAGAGATTTACCAATGACAAGTGTGCAGAAACAACACTGCTGGATGTAAATATTGAGGACATGAGTGCAATTAAAGTTAGTCTCGCTGTGTATAGAGTACTTTAAAAAAAGGCTTAAACTGCATTCCAAGTTGCCCCTACTTTGAACTGCATTCCAGGTAGAGAAAGAGACAATGTTCTACATGAGTGACTAGATAGGTTCTTTGCTGCCAATAATGAATAATGCTGTTGCTTGCTCTATCGCTGTCCCAGAAGAAAAATACACATCACAGTTGCTGTTGGGTGGATGCTACTGCTAGGATTTGAGAGAAAGAAACCAGGATCACCTTTTGAGTGTGCACATCTACACACACCTTGATGGCAAATTGAGAGCGTCTTGGTCCCAGGCAATGGCCTGGTGTGCCACGGCCTGGAGGCGCCAGTCTTCATTCCAGAGGTGCTGCTGTGCATCCCCACTAGCAATTCCAGCCCTGTGGCATCGATCACATAGCAGCATAACCAAGATTATGTTGCTAGAGGAAGGAATTTAGATAGTAATCTAGAATTGTTGAATTTCAAAACAAATAGCTTCGATTCTTTTGTGAGCGATTGAAATACAGAAATTTGCATGTTGCTTATATATAGGAGCAAATGGACCAGATTGAATCAAATCCTAAAAACCCTTCTGAGGCAAATGAACCAGATTGAATCAAATATGACAGTTATCAAAATTCCACTAAGCTAATTAGTATTATAACTACATCATAGCCATACATGTAATCATCCCCAGTAGTTAAGGTTCTAAGTTAAAGTTCTAACTCAATGGGGATCCGGAAGAACATCATGAGGCATCAATGGATCTGTAGATTATGCAACTTGCTATTGTTCTCTTTATATAAAATGCTTCAACCACTACACAAGCATAATTTCTAACAGATCAGTTTCTGAATGTTAAATCAAACTTTATAAACTTGCAACTTACCTTGCCACAACATTTGATACAGTCTTTAGACAAACCATATACCATAAATTTAGGAAAATGAATATTCATTTTATACCTCACAATTGATGATTGGTGAGAGCTTGTAACATTGTTGTAACTAACTGGAAACATCCTTACACCAGTTTCTATAGCGTGGGTACAAAGGTAACCTCCAAAGGTCACTTCTAATTACATGCTCATACTTGAATTGTTGAAGTTAAAAAGAGTCCAATATAGACAGTTCTATTTGAGACAGTGAAACTTCAAAATGAGAAATGGAATTTCTTTTTAATAGCATGATGTGATATGTAATTTTTCCTAGTGGAATAAACTCATGCCTACATCAGGGATTTTGAAAAACTTAAACTTTTACTGCCTTTCCGAGATGTTCTAGTCTGTAGAAGCTAGCAACACTGGAGACTAGCTTGAGCATCTGTCCCATTGCAAAAGTGTCAAGCATTTGTTCGTGTCTCTCTTCGACACTATGCCACTTCCTTGGTCCAGTATTGTTTCCACTCTTTGTCACTGTTAACCTCCTTACTGACATAGAGCCGATATTATTACTACCTGAACAAGGTGGTGTTCTCTTTATGTTGTATTTCTCAAGATTTATCACAACCAATGAGCAGCAGCAGTTGAGAATGATCCTGTATGACAACATTTTACCTTCAATGCAGCTCTTTATACTAAGTGGCTGCTCTCTGGGGACACCACAGAGACAAAGATGTAAATCAGCAATAACCAAAATAAGTAATCATGTTACAAGCTGGTTGTAAATGATGCTAACAAAATTTACATGAACAACTATAAAACTGATAACTTACTGAAGCTTGAATAGAATACCATAGTCTCTGACCAATCCCAGAAGCGGTCAAAGTTGGAGAGGGCTTTGTTGGAAGTAAGGTATTGCTTCATCCTTGCTTATAATTTTTAGCTATCTCAACTTGAATTTTACAAGATTGGCTCTCTTTATCCTTTGAGGTGGCATTCTCCATTCATAACCATGTTACATAAGGACCACAGCAAGAAACAACTTCATACAATTTGAAACGTGGGCATGTTGCAAACCTCATTTTCCATCATAATATTCGATGCAAATCCAAATATCAGGAAGATGTCACCTTTGCCTTCCATTCACGTCTATCCTATGTTGCAGAGAATCCAGCTTTTCTGGAAAAGGTAGAAAATAATATTTGGTAAGAAATATTTTATATCAATTTTTTATTTTAA